TAGCGCTGCAGTGTTTCCAGGAACGGTGCACCAAAAAAAAAAAAAGAAAAAAAAAGTATCAGTCCAAGATAGTGTGTTTATATTGTGTTTTTTGTGTATATAAGAGACTTTTAACACGGACAAATTTGTCTCTCATTCTCCTCCATCTCTTCATGCGCTCCCCACCTCTAAACCCACGTTTCCTGTCATTTCCGTCCACAAATAAAATGCTTGCTGCGCATCTTTTCACTCCTCCAGTCACGGGAGAATAAAACGTTCATATTTTTAGAGTTTTTTCGCGAGGTATTCTTCAAGCTTCTGCGTGTCTGCCGCTAGTTATCCTCGGCTCTCTTTGCAATGGCGGCGCTGTAAACAACAGTGGGTTGTTTACAGCGGCGTCCTGACCAATCACAAGCTTGCGTAATCCGTCTCGTTCGACAGATGTTTAAAAAAGTGGGCTCGACTCTGTACGTACTTGCGGGCCTGCTGGAGCCCAACGCAAGGACGGATAATGGCATTGCGTGTCTCCGCACTGACACAGACGGAGAAGCATAAATCAGGCTTTACAGTGAAGCCACTTTCAGGATACTGCATTGGTGTCTGTTAACCTTTACCGATAACAGTATCGGTGCATCCCTACATAGAACATCTGCAATCGTGAGTAGGAACAAAGTTTTGGCGCGTTGACGATATCCTTAAAAACCCTAAAAAGTCACCTGATCTTAATTGTAAAACAAAAATCTGACATCTTTTCTTTAATATTCTGACCACACTGCTGCTAATTCTAAAAAACCTCTCACTCTCTTCAGACGAGAGTTTGACTAAGAAGTAAATAAAATTTGGATCAAGAGGAAAATTTTAAAAAAGTCTTCATTCAGCTTGATAAACAGGGATGAACGTGAGAAATGCCTCACATGAAGAGAGGGAGATCAGAGAGGAAACTGGTGGTTACAGGACGAGTGGATGAAGTGTGAAGGTGGTGTGGAGATGCAGATTTATAAAATCATAATAAAATGTTCTTTTAGGCCTTTCAGGCGGGGAAAGTCACTGTGTTCCAACAGAAGTCCCACTGAGAGGACAGCACCATCTAGTGTTTCTCATCTACAGCACCCTTTTCAGCTCCACTCACTAATGTGCAAACATCTACCTCCCTGAAGCTTCACACCCAAATGACCTGCTCCTCATGGCCATTCCTCACCCAGAGGCTGCATCATTATGGATGCACCGTCATACAAACTGAGCACAAAAAATAAAACATTTGCAACTGATAACTAGTCCCCTGCGTTTTGCGTGTGTGTGCGTGCGTGCACACGCTTGGCCTTTATTGTGGGGGTGATCAGGAGAGCGTTGTGGCAGCACAGCGATGAGCCGGGTGTCACTGCATCTAATCATATTCTGCTCCTTATCGTCTGGTGGCTAAGGAGATGGAATGAACTGTGGAGGAAGAGAGAGAGAGGGAGGTGTGGGGAGAGCAGATGGAGGGAGGGGTGGGGAGGAAGAAGGCGTTAGATGGAGGAAGGCAACAGGAAGAGATGAAAGGAGTGATGAAAGATGTGGAGGAAGGACTGGAGATTTAAGGGTCTGCTGAACTAAAAGCATTTGAGAAACTGGAGCCAAGTTTAATGTCCCGCTTCACCTCACCACCCGCACAGAACAAACCCACCTCTTGTAAACCAACTTCTCACTGCAAAGTGTGTGTGTGTGTGTGTGTGTGTGTGTGTGTGTGTGTGTGTGTGTGTGTGTGTGTGTGTGTGTGTGTGTGTGTGTGTGTGTGTGTGTGTGTGTGTGTGTGTGTGTGTGTGTGTGTGTGTGTGTGTGTGTGTGTGTGTGTGTGTGTGTGTGTGTCTGTGTCTGTGTTGGGGTTATCAAGAGAGCTAAGGATGGGTGGTAATTGAATAATGACAGTCAGGCCTCTGATGGATTACCCGTCACTCTCCTATCTTCTCTCCCTCCATCACTGTCATCTCCCTCTTCTCCGTCGCTCTCGCCTCACAAACCCTGCCTGGTCACATCGTGCCCTGTCCGCTCTGCTGCCAGTGCCATTGTAAATAAAAACACCCGCAAAGTCGCTGAAGATTGCCACCTTGTTTGTCTGAGTATGCATGAAATCACACGAACATGTGTCAGGGCTAATGTCGCGCTGAAGCTGAGAATCCTGCAAAAAACACAGAATCAGATGTGTCATTTACTTTACTTTACTTTACTTTCATACAATTTGGGTTCATTTAAGAATAAATATATTATGCTCCTTAATAAGAGCCTGTGTGTACATGTAATTTTGATTGATGGTTAATTATCTCCTGTTGTTGGTCTTAAACCATGCATAGGAGGCAAATACTTCATGTTTCTTAAATGCCCAGGGTTAAAGATGATCTCATGTTGAGAAATGATGGGAAATGTGTCATTTTGGTATTAATCTGTTATCGTTGCATGCCTTGTGTCTGTTGTTGATTAGAGAGAGAGAGAGAGAGAGAGAGAGAGAGAGAGAGAGAGAGAGAGAGAGAGAGAGAGAGAGAGAGAATGTGTGTGCGTGTGTGTGTGTGTGTGTGTGTGTGTGTGTGTGTGTGTGTGTGTGTGTGTGTGTGTGTGTGTGTGTGTGTGTGTGTGTGTGTGTGTGTGCGTGCGTGTGTGAAAAATACAGATAAATAGCAACATTTGCATTTTGCAAACTCCCTTGGTGCAATTTAATCACAATGCCCAAATTATGTCTTAATTAGCTTAATTTATTGTAATTTTGTTTTTTGAACAAATTTCATCACTTTCAGGAAATCAGATCCACTTTATTGTCTCCAGTCATTCACAGCTTAGTTTCACGGGTCATTAACCTCCCCCAAAGTTGTTTTCTGCAATCTGAATGAAGAGAATGTGTCTTTCTGAAATTCCAGCACCACCTGGAAAAAGCCCCAGAATGTGTGTGAGGATCCCTGTTGAATGCTGTTAGCAGCTTTTGCCAACAGATACTGGCTAGTGCAAGCAAAAGAGAAAAACAACAACCTTAACAAGGCAGGTCAAAATCAAGATTTTTTACAATGACAGCAGAGCTGTGATGGAGAAAAACTACAAAGATGGCAGCGACTCATAAACAGCGGTCATTTGAAGCGACTTTGGTATCAACTTTGGACGATTTAGAATCAGGCTTCTTTCTGACACATCAACAGAAAAAGGTACTTACGTTCTTTGTTTTAAAAGGACAGTGTGTGAAGGACCGCCCTGTTGACTGATTTCCGTGGCAACAGATAAGTCACATTGTTCGTTGCCCTGATTGTTTTGAAAGGCAACCGTTGATTCTGCCTCATGATGGAACTCTGTGGGTCGTGGACAGACTGTGGCCATCCTACCAAACCTATACACGAAAAGCAGAACGTTAAAACCTCCTAAATCGGTTTTGGTTTTTGGTTTTGGTGTATTGCCCCCAAATCATCCTCGGTCCTCTGAAAACCTTCTGGGATTCAGTATCTGTAAATGCTTCCTTTCTGGCCATTTTTGTGTCTGATGAAGTCAATTAGCTGTGGAAGCCATCTTGAATGTGACTGACTCTAAAAGTGAATCGCCTGTAGACGTACCTACATCTAGTAAAGTCTTCCTGAAAATTCCATTAAAATGTAAACATGATGTAAATTCACACGATTAATGTTTGCCTTTAGCCTTTTGGTAGCATCTGATAAAACCTCTATTCACAAAACCACTGTTGTTAGAAATGACTTTTACCAAAAGCATTCAAATCTACTCCAGGAGTGTACTTTTTGAACTGTTCACTTGAAACTGCATTTAACGCATCGCCATAGCTGTCGAGGTCGAGTGATGCTTTGTTAGCCTGTTAGCGATTCCTTTTTAAACCAGCTCATGATGCAAAGTTCAAAAACTCTTCAGTTTGAGTGGAATGACTGACACAGAAACAACAAAAGGAGTTATTTGGAACATGTGGTGCCGGAAAGGAATGTTGAGTTAGTGGAGGAAGAGCTTTGAGACTATTTTTCTAAAAGCTACTTGTACGTTTAAAATCATCTTTTATGTTTGGTTTCCCGTTCACATATAAGCAGAATTACTTTAAACCAGTGGCCCCCAAATCTGAATCCCCCAGACCTGCCCTCAGCATAATTTTTTAACGTGGCCCTCGACCACTTATATTTGAGTACCCCTGCTTTATACCATGCTGCACACAGATGGAATCAGCTTCCTTGTGAACTCAGTCTACCCCAACTCTAGTACCCGCCGTGCAAAGACCTAGTTTGGACGTTCTACAAAGGTGGTCTGGAATGACGGACTCAATATAGAAACGATCTGCACGTCTATGCAACACTGACTGTTCGCAGGGTGACAGCCTTTGAATGAATCCTCCTAATGCTGCACCTTCTGCACTGTAACTGCTCACCCTTTGTCTTTTTTCTGATTCTTAAATCTGGTATTGTTTTGTGGATTTTATTTGTGCTGTGACGTTGGTTTTAACTCTCCTGCTATTCTCGTTACTGAAAGCACATCTAATTTTCTCTGTGTGTGAAATGTGCTATACTAATAAAGCTGCCTTGCCTTTATAATAAGTTACAAGAACAGAAAGTTTGTTTTGTGTCATGAAACCTTGTTAGGGTGCAATATTTAGGAAAGTCTCTTTTGATGCAGGAAAGCTTCAGTTGTCCAACAACCCTCACAGATTAGCTCACATCAGCAGTTTGGGGGGAAGTCTCTATATATAAGCACACATATTGGCTCATGAGCAAAAATGAAAAGGCTTTATTATGAAGACGAGATTTGAATACATGTGTAGAAATGTGACAGTTTCAGAAAAATAAAACAGAACTTCAGTTTAATGAGATAATGATTTTATAAGTTTAACTTTTTCCTTTATTTGCTTCTTTTGTGTGCCTCATCCCTCAGATGTCTGCTGCTTCATCTTCACGTGTAACATATTTATTTCTAAAGCAGCTCATAACCTCTGCTCTTCTCTTCTACAGGACTGTGTCGTGATGGTTCATCTTATGCATTTTCAAACAGGTGTCTCATTAGTAAGTCACCATGAAAGGAGGAAAGGATTATCATCATTTATTTAATTGGTTGAAAACAAAAAAGAGAGATTGCAGCTCTACAAATGCAGACAGCCAGGACTATTTACATTATTTCAGGAAGTTGGACAATAAAACAGCACCAGTGGAAAGAACCCGAGTTGAATTCAGACAGAAGAAACACTCAATAAGCTGACTTTTAACAAACGAATCAATCAGGTTTTCTTATAAAGTTCTACAAAAGCTGCATGAAATACAACAGCTGTGGGTGTTTCTAGCATGGGAAGTTCAAAAAGCACTTTATCTAACGTTTCAGTGCAGATCTGAGCTCAGGGATGCATCGTGGGAAACACAAAAATTTCAGTGGGCGGGGCTTTAAAAGCACTGAATGATAGACCATTCTGCAGTTTTACAGTGCACGATTCAGCAGGTCAAGGGTGGCTCACGGGAGGGTTTTTTAATCTACACTGCTTCGCCTTCATCACTAATAACATCCTCCTGACTGGTTCTGTTATTTCAGCAGACGAGTGAAATCTGAGTGGTCCAAACGCGTCTGAGATGTGAAAGCTGAAGCCTCGATGTCCTTTCTCCAAACGTTGTTGTGTTTCGACGCAACGGTTTGAGTCACCGCGGCAGACATGAGAGAGCAGTGATCCAAAGTAGAGAGCAATACAAGCCATGGGAAAGTAGCCACACACACACACACACACACAGACACACACACACACACACACACACACACACAAACACACACATACACACACACACACACACACACACACACTTACAGTAACTGAGACTCCTAGTTAATAGCACCCAGTTGTTCAGTGCCAGAGACAGACCCTGTTGGAGGATTGTGGGGGGCGGGTGGGGTGGGGGGGCTTCATCTCAGGTGGATGCAGCTAACAGGAAGTTGTGTTGGATGAAAATGAATTTGAAGGTGTAGAGAAGCGGGCGAGGGAGCAAATCAAAATGAAAATTGATTGTCTGTAAATAACATTAAAACATGACAGCTAATAACTTCTCTTCTACTCTATCCACCCCCTCCTTCTCTTCTCCGTCTCCCTTAATGGAAACAACAGGCTGGGTTTCATGGACTTTAATAGCTGATTAGCCGCTCTGAGCGTTGCGCTTTTATGCCAGCCAGCGCGTTGGACAACACACTAAGTTTGGAGGAAACGGTGTAAGAGTGGAGATGTGGAAAATGCAGGGAGAGAAGATTTTAACAGCGAAGCAAAAAAATAATAAACGGAGGCAGAAAAAATTGAGACAGAGGGACCCAGATGGCAGGGAGGGAAGGATGGAGACAGCAGGATGGGGTGGAAGTTGATGCGCTGGATATCTTCCCCCTCTTCCATCAGCAGAAGCCTGTTGGTGAAGAAGAGCAGTAATGAGAGCAGCTGCACAGGACACACACACAAAACACTTCTCCATCCACTTAGCCACCCACCCCTCAGCAGCAAATCCACACAAACACAATTGTGCACAATCTAGTGAGACAGGCACACTCGTACCCTCACACTCGAAGGCTTGCAGCATGGTGGTGTAAGAGGGCCCCAGCCAGGAGGTGTAACTACCCAGAACTCTCTGCAGGTGGTGGGTGGCATCACTGAAGAGCAGATCGGATTGGCCGTAGCCCGCTGAGCTGAACAGACTGAAGCCCTCGGTGGCGTTGCCAAACACATTCTGCAAGAGAGAGACGGTGTGTGACTGCGCTTAATGCACAAGGGCATGCATGGATGTGCGTTGGCGTGTTCTCTGTGTATGTGCGTCTTTGAGATTGTGTTCATGTGTAGCCTCAGGAATCAGCACAGGACATAGTCCTCCACACACACTCGTGAAGAAGGATGACAGTTCTTAGCAGGAAGCTGAGCAGATCAATAATTGTTCTTCAGGTTTGAGACAGACTCATGTGGAGTCCAGGTTTAGGTCCACACCCACCTGTAAGCGCTCAAGATACTTCCAGACACGGCACTTGTCCTCCATGCGGACCACCACAGCGTTTGCAGGGACTGCTGCTAAGTGGCAGTGTTCATGCTGATCCAGACCTGCTTCTGTTCCATCTGGACACAGCAGCTTCAGGTCCTCCAGCTCCAGGTCCAAGGCCCAGGACTCCTGGTTCTTACCTGAGTGGGTCAGACTGAGTTTAAGCAAAGGAGCAGGACATGTTGAGAAATGTTTTGCATATCTTTCTTTTTTTTCCTCAGGAAGACAAATGTTCACCAAGAATCAACAAATTTGATGCTTCTCAGATTTATTCCTAAAAGGTCGGCTCTTCAAACCCTCCATGATTTCCTGACCTTCCCTAAGCCATGTGACTCTAGACATTTCTGAACCATATGACAAAGCACGCTTTGTTAAGCAGCTGCAGTGTGTTTGTGGATCCGCTGCCAAATGCCTCCTTCTCAGCTGTACCAGCAGAGTCTGTGTAGCATGACGGTGATAATGATCACCATTAATTCTGGATGTTGCCCAAAGCAAAGGAGCAGATGCAGTAAATTTGGAATTAGGACACCAAATGGACATAAACACCTGGAGACTAGTTTGTTTTTCCACATTTCTACTTATTTACATCTGAGAAGCAACCAAACGAGTCTAAACTGTTAGATTTTAATAGGAATCTTCCTTTAGTGCTAGATCACACATGCAGCTGGTTACCACATTATGCTGTAGAGCACTGACATCTCGTGGCTGAAGAGAGAACTGCATCATCAGTTGTTGATAAAATTTGGGTTAGCCTAACCCTAACCATTTGTATAGCATGCAAAGATTTTAAATACTAACCATCCAAGTTATCGAAGACGGTCGTGTGTTTGACAAAAGCAACGTCGCCAAGGTTTTCAGCCACACACCTGAAGGAGAGAGCGAGGAAGAGTTAAACTAACCCAATCCACGTGGAAATTCAAATTACAGCATTATCTGGTGGCAGGAAGTAGATCTGTTTTTTTATGATAATAAGTTGTATTTAATCATCTTCAAACACTCTAAGAGGATTTGTGGATGCTGCCAGTCAGGTTTTAAAACCCATCATAACACAGAGATGGTACTTTATGGGTTTTAATGTTTAATTTAAACTCTTCTTTTGGATTTAACTGGTGCCTTTGACTGGGTCAACACTCTTTTGCCAGCACTTGTTGGTGTTAAAGTTTAAGTTCTGCTTTGGTTTAAATCGTATTTGTCTATGAGCTGTTGTTTTTTTCTTCTTCCATAATAAAGCCCTAATCCTTCCCAGCATGCATCTGCTTTGGTGTACCGCAGGGATCTATTCTGGTTACCGTGATGTTTTTGTTATATTTGCTGTTTCTGGGATAAATAGTTAGGATATTTGATTTTATCGTCGCTGCCTGGCAGTGCAGTTGGTGGCACTGTGGCCTCGCAAGAAGAGGGTTGCAGGTTTGAATCCCGGCTACTGCCTTTCTGTATGGAGGTAGCATGATATCCTCATGTATGCATGGGTTTTCTCCAGATACTCTGGTGTCCACCCACAAACCAAAAACATGAATGTTAGGTTTATTGGCTAACTCAAATTGCCCCATAATGTGAGTGTGTCTGTGTGTCCCTGTGATGGACTCTAGTCTAATGTGTCCCCCACCTTTTGTCCCCAATGGCACCTGGGGTTAGGACCTAGCTTTTCGCCACCCTACTAAGGGAACACAGTTCATAAAATGTGCAAATGAGTGTTTTATTGTCTTTAAGGAAAGATGAGACCTACTGACACAATGTTCAGAAGCTAAATGTGTAAATCGTAACTGATATTTTCAGCCCTGTCGCTTCTTGTTGCTCCTCTACTTTCTGAGTATTTCATATTATTTTAAATTAAAATGAAACCTAGTGTCCACAATCACCTGAAACAGTTGTCACGTAATTTCCTGTTCTGTTTATTTTCAGTCTAACTACAGCTTTTTTAACTTCGCTACAGAAATAATATTCATTTTCATTGGTCGCTATGTTTCCTTCTCATTTATGATAACCGCAGTATTCCCACACAGTACCAACACCGTCTCTGGTTGTCATGGACACAAGAGAGGCCAAGATGAAGCAGACGTATGAAGCACCACCTCAGGGTGCCGTATTATTCCTGCTACAGTGTCGGAGCAGTACCTCAGCGCTCCGGCCTCTCCGTAATGCCTCTCTCGGTGGCTGTTGGCGCAGATGTGTCTGTCGTTCTCGTCGCCTATGCAGGCCTCGCAGAGGTTCTTCGGGTTGTTGCCTTTGGGGTCATGCTGAAGGTCTTTCACACCGGGCACGCAGCTGTAACCGAAGAAGTTCCCCACCGCTGGCAATGCAAAGAAGAAGCAAATGAAATAAGTGACTTTTGTTTCTGTTTTCATCTCCTCACCCAGTAAATCCAATTTGAATGGAGACACAAAAGCTTAAGATGCTTTGAATCAGGACCAAATGTTTCTTTACTCTCTTTCTCTTTATATATTCACAATTTATCTTTGCATCATGACTATATTTTTTATTTTTATTTTAGAAGATGGAAGCTGAAGAGTGATGAACTTCAGGAAAAAGACACCATATTGTACAGAACTATGCCATATCAGCAGCCCCTAAACACACCAACACACACCTGTCACAGTTACCTCTTGGGAAATTGCACTGCTCTCCTACACTGATTTGAGAGGTGTTGACCAGGTATCCAATGGGAACTGTCCACCCCACTGTGGTCCGTATGCCGGGGTGGCAGGAGCTGCGTTCGTGCATCTCCAGCAGGGACAGGTCCGAGGAGGAGCGGCGAGCCATCGCCACCACATAGTAGCTGATACCATCTGCTGGAGCGAGTGTGAGGGTTTAGAAGGCAGACATGAGGAATCTGACACTTTAGATTTATTCTGACTTACCGAGACCGTTGTGGGATTCTCCCGCTGCAAGCTCCAAACCATGGCAGAAACCCGCAGCGTAGATGTCATCAGCAAACATGGAGGCAGCATCCGCTGTCCCGTTCTGAGGACAGATTTATGACCTTATGAAAACACTGAGGCGTAACTAAAGGAATGCAACATTTTGCGTGACTTCCTGTATTTGTATGACAGAAATGATTCAAACTTTTATGGTTGAGATGTGATTTAAATTCAAAACAAAAATTTATTATGTTGTATTTTCAGTGGGTTTGTTGAGTTCCATTAATTTTTAATGCTTTTATTTTGAAAATATTTTACATTTCTGTGTTTTCCATCTTGCAGACACAGAAAAACCATGAAATAAATAATACAAATGTTAACGTAAATACACAAAATTAAACTTTTAAAAATCAAATTAACGTTTATTAAAGAAAAAATGTTGAATGATGTCTGAAACATTCCAAATATGAATCTATTTGAGCTGTGAGTCTACACATTTTCAGAAGAAGAGCTTTTTCCTGAGGATTTATTTTAAATCCCCGGGTGTACCTTGATTCTGTCCATGCAGTCTCCAGTGTTCAGTCCACGGACACACTGCAGGTTTCCCCTCACATTCTTAGCTGTAGCGTTCCCAGCTAAATCCAAACACTTCTGCTCCTCAGCATCCGACAAAACACACCAGGTGACTAAATACACAAGACGTCACAATTAGACAAAAATTACACAAAGTCATAAAAGTATCCAAAGATGATGTTTTACCACTTTTTAAACCCTTCTGAACTCATCTGAAGATATTAGGAGGAGGATGTTGACCATCACATATAGTTTTGGGTGTACCTGTGCTTTTCTGATGGGAGACACAGCTGACACTCAGAAGAGGCAGGAGCAGCAGAAAAGCTACGAGCAGTCTTCTCTCCATGTCGGCTCTGGTTGGAAACCAGCTTAGAACTGATTCTGCACAGAGGAGGAGGACTAGAGGGATTCATTCAGCCCCCTCCTTCTCTCATAACCTTAAGACGAGGAAAGGAGATATGGAATGAGGCAGGTAGATTGAATGTAGACTGAACATTATTCCTCTAAAGTCCAAATCTTCATTAGATAATCCTTCCTCAGTCTCCTGATAGCAGTATAGCATTTCTCCATCCAATTATCCATCGAGGCTAAGAAGCCGTGAAGAGGATCTTGAGTAGATATGTGTGGACTCGCAGCAGATCGGGTCACCTGGCACCAAGTCTGGACCAGGATCTTTAATTAAAAGCGGCTGTGGACAATGTGTCTTTGTGTTGGAGTGGTGTTCCCGGCTGGGTCTCGCTCCGACTCACTGGAGACTAAAATCCAAGTATGGGAAGGACTACTGTTCCCGTCCAGGGGACTCGGAGAGGGGGGAAGCACGTCAGAGACAATTGCACTATTTTCCTCTCTTTGCACAAATCCAATAACACAGAAACTCTCAGACGTTTTCTTTAGCAGCCTCTGAGCTGCAAAAGAAAATGAGAACAAATCAACAGGTGAGGAGGAAAGTTAAATAAATCTGTTTCTCTCTTTTGAGAAGCTGTTATTCAGGTTCTGATGTGTGTGTCTGCTCTGGAGATGAAGGATCAAAATGTTTTCCTGCTGCTTTAAGAGAACTTTTCAGAACTTTTGAACATCTCTAACAAATATACCTTATGCTATTAAAGCTTTATTGTGAATAAGAATAATTTGGAAATGTGTTTCTTCTACCTTTGTTATTTTAAAATGTTTTTATTAATTGTTACTTATCTTTAAGTTTTCCCTTAACCTATAGAATTATAATATTTTGGATACAATTTAAATGTATCTGATTAAACAAGTTTATCAAATTAAATCAACTTTTGTGATCAAACACTTACTCTTTTTCATCAAATGTTCTTATTTTATTTATTTCAGTGGTTTATACATCTATTCATCCATTGTCTGATCACACTCGTCCATGTGGGGTCACGCGCGGGGGCTGCTATCTCCAGCGGTCAATAAGGCGGGGTACACCCTGTGAGCCAGTCCATTGCAGGGCAACACAGAGACACCCAGGACAAACAATCATGCGCACACACACTCACACCTAAGGTCAATTTAGACAGACCAATTAACCTAAAAGTCCTAACAGAGAACCCACGCATGCACAGGGAGAACATGCAAACTCCATGCAGAAAGATGCCAGGCTGGGAAGCGAACCCAGGACCTTCTTGCTGCAAGGCAACAGCTCTAGCCACAGCGCCACTGCGCAGCCCCGGTTTATGCATTCATTGTGAAAACCTAAAATACATACAATTTTCCTGTGTAAACCTTTTTTTTAAATAAAATCTGTCTCTATGAATGTCTCTGTGTTTATTAGATAATGGTATTTATTGGTCTTTGAACTAATAACTAACTGTTTTTACCGGAGATATTTGATTAGAAACTACAAACATATGCTTGTAATGTTGTAAAAAATATATATATATTCGCCAATTTAAAAATCGTAGTATTTTTAAGGGATGTGTTTTATTTTGGAGTCAACAGGTTTAGCTGCCTGTAGTAACCGCTTCTTTCCAGTAGAGGGCAGAAAATCCTTACTCTCGAGAGCCAGACATAAAGGATTGAGTTCTCAAATGAAACGTGAAATAAACGCTGAAAGAACTAAATGAAGTCACTATAGATCAAATCATTCAGAGAAAACCTGGATGAGATAATAAATTTGGCAAGTGAAGTAGTCCAGTTTTAGCCATTTTTGCCATGTAAAAAAACTGTGTTAACACACTGATGTCATGTTCTGTGTCCCTTTGGTCCCCAGCCAACCTCCTGTTCTCCCTCCAGGTGTCCCCTCAGGTCCTGTGCTCCTTGTGGTCCCCAGCCCCTTCCAGGTTTCCCTCATGTTTCTCCCTAGTCACTTTATACTTAGTTATCCCATCCAATTTAGTCTAGTCTCCCCTTCCCCTCTCTTTTGGTCCCTGTCTCTTTAGTTCCCCAAGCTAAAGTGTTAGTGTTTTTTCTGGTGTCTAGTTTCAGGTTTATTAGTTCTCATCTTGAGTTCTCTGTATAATTATATTATCCAGTCAGTCTTTTCCTTTAACAATGTGTTCCTTCCCATCCATCCATCCATCCATCCATCAATTTTCATCCACTTATCCGGAGTCTTGTCGCAGGGGCAGCCTAAGGCGAGAGGCCCAGACTTCCCTCTCCCCAGCCACTTGAGCCAGCTCCTCCGGGGGAATCCCAAGGCGCTCCCTGGCCAGGTGAGAGACATAGTCCCTCCGCCATGTCCTGGGTCTACCTTTAGGCCTTCTCCCGGTTGGACGTGCCGGGAAAACCTCACCAGGGAGGCATCCAAGAGGCATCCTGACCAGATGACCGAGCCACCTCAACTGGCTCCTCTTGATGTGGAGGAGCAGCGGGTCTACTCTGAGCCCCTCCCGAATGACCGAGCTTCTCACCCTATCTCTAAGGAAGAGCCCAGCCACTCTTTGGAGAAAACTCATTTCGGCCACTTGTATCCGCAATCTCGTTCTTTCGGTCACTACCCAAAGCTCATTACCATAAGTGAGGGTAGGAACGTAGATCGACCGGTAAATTGAGAGCTTCACCTTCTGACTCAGCTCTCTCTTCACCATGACAGACCGGTACAATGCCAGCATCACTGCAGATGCAGCACCAAATCACCTATCGATCTCATGCTCCAGTTTTCCCTCACTCAGCAATGCGGACCAAGCTCTGACACCGGTAATACAGGGACCTAACAGCCCGTATCAGAGGGCCTGGTACCCTATACTCCCAGAGTACCCTCCACAGCCCCCCCCCCCAAGGGACGCGGTCAAACGGGGATTTGGAGAAGGAGGGTGTGTGGGCAAATTCCCACACACCCTCCTGGATCCCCCTAAGGGTATAGAGCTGGTCCAGTTTTCCACGGCCAGGACAAAAACCACATTTCTCCTCCTGAATATGAGGTTAAACAATCCGATGGACCTTCCTCTCCAGAACCCCCTGAATAGACCTTACCAGGAAGGCTCAGGAGTGTGATCCCCCTGTAGTTAGAACACACCCTGTGGCCCATCTTTTTAAAGGGGGACCACCACCCCGGCCTGCCAGTCCAGTGGGACTGCCCCAGATGTCCACGCAATATTGCAGAGCCGCATCAGCCAACACAGCCACACAACATCCAGAGCCTTAAGGAACTCCAGGCGGATCGCATCCACCCCTGGAGCCTTGCCACAGAGGAGCTTTTTAACCACCTCAGTGACCTCAGCACCACAGATTTGAAAGACCAACCCAAAGACCCCAGAATCTGCTTCCTCACTGGAAGACGTGTTGGTGGGATTGAGGAGGTCTTCAAAGTATTCTGCCCACCGATCCACAACGCCCTGAGTAGAGGTCAGCAGCACACCGTCCCCACTATAGATAGGCTTGGTAGTGCACTGCTTTCCCCCCTGAGACCATCCACCTGGATGGTGGACCAGAATCTCCTCGAAGCCGTACGGAAGTCTTTCTCCATGGTCTCACTGAACTCCTCCCATGCTCGGGTTTTTACCTTGGTGACCACCCGAGCAGCTTTCCGCTTGAACTGCCTGTACCCGTCAGCTGCCTCTGGAGTCCCACAGGCCAAAAAGACCTGATAGGACTCTTTCTTCAGCTTGAAATCATCCCTAACCGCCGGCGTCCACCAGCGGGTTCGGGGGTTGCCACCACGACAGGCACCGACGATTCTGCAACCACAGCTCCGGTCGGCCACCTCAACAATGAAGGCACGGAACAGGGTCCATTCAGACTCAATGTCCCCTGCCTCCCCCGGAATATTTTGGAAGTTCGTCTGAGGTGGGAATTGAAGCTCCTTCTGACAGGAGACTCTGCCAGACGTTCCCAGCAGACCCTCACGATACGTTTGGGCCTGCCTGGTCTGACCGGCATCCTCCCCCACCATCTGAGCCAACTCACCACCAGGTAGTGGTCAGTTGACAGCTCCGCCCCTCTCTTCACCCGAGTGTCCAAACCATGCGGCCGCAAGTCAGATGAAACAACAACAAAGTCGATCATCAAGCTGCAGCCTAAGGTATCCTGGTGCCAAGAGCACATATGGACACCTTTTTATCTGAACATGGTGTTCATTATGGACAATCCATGACTGGCACAGAAGTCCAATAACAAAACACCCCTCGAATTCAGATCAGGGGGACCGTTCCTCCCAACCACACCTCTCCAGGTCTCACTGTCGTTGCCCACGTGAGCGTTAAAGTCCCCCAGCAGAACGAGGGAGTCACCGGAAGGAGCGCTTTCCAGCACCCCCTCCAAGGTCTCCAAAAAGGGTGGGTAGTCTGAACTGTAGTTTGGTGCATAAGCACAGACCACAGTCAGAACCCGTCCCCCCGCATGGCAACCCTCTCATTCACTGGGGTAAACCTCAACGTACAGGCACCAAGATGGGGGTACTAGTATGCCCACCCCTGCTCGGCACCTCTCAGTGGGAGCAACTCCAGAGTGGTAGAAAGTCCAACCTCTCTCAAGGAAACTGGTTCCAGAGCCAGAGCCATGCATTGAGGTGAGTCCGACTATATCTAGTCAGAACCTCTCAACCTCACACACCAACTCAGGCTCCTTCCCCACCAGAGAGGTGACATTCCATGTGCCAAGAGCCAGCATCTGTTTCCGAGGATCAGACCGCCAAGGTCCCCGCCCTCGACTACCACCCGTCACACACTGCACCTGACCCCATTTGGCCCCTCCCATGAGTGGTGAGCCTATTGGAAGGGGGACCCACATTTCCTCTTCGGGCTGTGCCCGGCCGGGCTCCATGAGTGAAAGCCCGGCCACCAGGCGCTCGCCAATGTGCCCCACCTCCAGGCCTGGCTTCAGAGGGGGGGCCCCAGTGACCCACGTCCGGGCGAGGGAACATTGTTTCCATTTATATAATTCATCATAAGAGGTCTTTGGGCTGCTCTTTGTCTGAGTTTCTCCAAGTTTGTGCTCATGAGTGAGCTTCTGTTTTGTTTTTGATCGTTCAGTGTGTTTTGAGATTAAGTCTGGTTTTTGTGCCTTAGGACTTTTGGCGCATCCTCCTTTAAATAAAGGAATTATTTTCTTAAACCACTCCTGCCTCGAGTCGTTCTGGGGATTCTGCATCTTGGGTCCAAACCTCCTGCTCTCAACGTGACAATTGAGCCCAACATACAAGAACCAATAATAAAATAATGGGGATAAAATAATTGTTTTCATGTGCATGAATTTTAAATGAATATAAATTGAACAGTTTTGTCTTTATTAAATTAAGGTCCTGTTAAGCCGCAGGAGTTTGCATAACTTAGTTGTGCTCACTTCATTTATCTAATTAAATAAGTTCAACACAGTAAGTCAGCTGCTGCAAACGTTTACTCTGTATTTAGCTTTTTACTTTTACCAGAGTCTTATCATTCTGACTACTTTTAAAGTGCTTCTAGAGTATTATCTCTCACTCCTCTACCCTTTGCTGGTGCACACATCTCCCATCAGACATCCCATAATAAATGTGCTTGTGTCACTGATCTTACCTAAAGCCAAAGACACAAAACAAAACTATGAGTGAGTCTCTCACTAACAGTGAGCCTCCTTGTGTTGAGTCCTTTCTTAATGGTGAACATCCTTTGCACAACTGGATTTTTGACATTTTGTTGTGGGTGAAGTAACCTCCTCCTGCTCTCTGACCTCCTCATTTACCTGTAATTTCTTTGCATTTAACAGTGTTTGCTTAAAAAATGCGACATTTTGGTTTTTTTTTTCCACTATCATTTAAAATATATAATAAGAAATGACTGTTTTGCAATGACTCAATGGTTCAATTAATGTTCATGAAAATAAGTTGTTTGTTCCACAATTGTATCAGCTTCTTATTGTGTGTTTTTCTCATAATTAATATTGTGATTTTTACATGGCAAAAAGTGACTGCAACACCCTTTACCTCTAAAATTTTAAATTAGCCTTAACAAGCTTATTTTTTCTCTCTTATATGATTTATACACATCATAGCCTCTTTCAAAGTACGTCATTTGTATTCTCTGGTAGTTTAGAAATAATCAGTGGCTGCAGGTTCAGCTATTTATTAAAGTTTTACCTGTAACTTTTCATTGTTGTTTTATCATTTTTAAACTTGTGTTACATGTTTTATAATGATTTGCTGCTTTTAAGTTTCTTTTTATTTGTTTTTATTACAATTACTATTGTGCAGCACTTTGGGGTGTAACGTTGCTGTTCAAATGTGTTATATAAATAAAGGTTGACTTGACTTTATCTATTAAAAAATCACAGTCTTAGATTTTTATAAATGACTCAAAATCTACTTTATAACCAGTTTTCAACTACTTATTTGAAGATGGTGGCAAAACAATTTTTTTTCTTTAGACAGCAGATAAAGTTCAGAGACGTTTTATTTGTTAGTTGTCTCACTTTATGCCTGCATGATTCACATCAGACATTAATAAAATAAAAGTGGCTAAGTAAAAGTTTATTTTACACAGTAAAAGTGTTTAAAATGTGTTGGCTGATCTATGTTGGAGGACTCCTCCACCCCACAATGCACCTGGGTGAGAATGTGTCGGTCGCGAACGAACCGGCTCTAAAAGCTGGCTCTTTGACGTGAACGACGGGAGCCGTCCCCTCCCCAACATGTGTAACTGCGTGTCCAGACTGTCCACACACAGAGCAGTGTGTGTGTGTGTGTGTGTGTGTGTGTGTGTGTGTGTGTGCGGGGGGGGGGGGGGGGGGGGGATCAGACACACAGCAGAGCACATGCGGGTGGAGGGAGACAAGAGGGAATGCGGAGGAGGAAAAAGGCGATCGAGAGAGGAGAGTGTGATGAAGACGGTGAGAACATGAGCACCAGCAGTCGGAAAGTGGAGATTTCTTAAAGTGTTTAGTTGTTAAATCCAAATGTGGCAAGGTGGAGTAAGGAGGGCCCAGGCAGGATTTGATCCCCAGACTCCCGGGTGAGAGTCACACGCGATAACCAGTCAGCCAAAGGGAGTTCTCCTTGGCCAAGTAGCCAGGGCACATGATCAATAGGGACACTGTGACAGGACGCTCACGCTGCCACACATAGAAATGATAAATATTTGATACATTGCATTTTTTTACATTAGTAAATCATTTTACATATAGTTTTGCATTTTTTTGTTGTTGTTATAAATGTACTTTACGCAACAGAAAATCTGAGGAGCCAATGGGAGCCGAAAGAGCCGGCTCTTTTTGGTGAGCTGAGCCAAAAGAACCGACTCTCTAAAAAGAGCCGTAATTCCCATCACTAACATGTTTTGGTGACGTCATTTGTGGCTGGAAAAGGGAAAACAGTCGGTGGGTGGGTTGGGCTGGAGTTGTGGTTTCGGCGTTTGGACGTTGCAAATCAACCTGGAACGATTATTTGAGCTCAGCTGCCAACTGCAGAGACGTCCCAGAATGAGTTAGAAACGTCGCCTCGTGCCAGGTAGGTGCGTGTTCTCTTTAATCGACCCCTGCTAGCATCGCGCGCGCCCGTTAGTTTGCGCTTTGTGCTCCAGCTTAGCTTTCGGTGCTAACAGTCTGGCTGGCTGGCGCCTCCGAGACGACTTTGGACGGACAACACGAGCCGCTTAATGGCCTGTTAGCCCCAGCCAACACACACCCAGGCCTCCCCTCGGAGACGTTTACTATACGGACGTAAGTGTCTCTGGAGGGTTGACGTTGAAATTTAAGGCGCTGCCTTTTAAAGAGTATTTTTGTCCTCTAGGCTACAACTGCAGAGATAAACACACCAGCGGCTCTTCTAGCAAAGTCTTTTATTATTTGTCATTTAGATGAACCAAGTAAATTTTTATTAATTGAAATTTAATCCAGAGACATTTTAGCGTAAGGTTGCATAGACTAGTCTCTACAAATAACTTTTAAGAGTTGCACCATCTATAAAATTGGAAATAAGGTTAAAAAATACATGATGGAGGTGACCAATCAACAATCAGTTCTTTAATTGTTCCCTGTTTTTCCATCTGCCGTAATAAACGATCTGTTAAATGTAAGATGAAGGTTAAATACTGCTGTGTCCACTCTGGCTTCTCGTTTAAAGTCTGTAGGAGCAGCAGTTAAAGGTTTCAGTCAGTAAATAACCAATCAGCCATTGTAGAAGCTGCATGTTTCTGTCAGTGTTTGAAAGCCTTTAATCAGACTGGGGCCGACGAACAGAAAAGGAGTAAAATGCAGTCTAAATAAGATAAAATACATTAACAACTGAAAAAGCACAAAACTCACAATAGGCAATAAAATTAGGTTTTATTAACAGATTTTATTGGGTTAATAACCGAGAAAAGTTTAATCGGTTATTTTGCCAACAAAAAACACTCAAAGTTGTTAACACATGTATGTGCATATGTTAACGTTTCCTAAGAGGAGTTAATCACAACACCAGATCAGCCATGTCAGAGCGCTTTAATCTACACATGATGTGGGTGAAATATATTCATTCAGTTTGCGACACTGGTTTATGCTTGTTAAGAACAATTGATGTATTTTTTTTTCTTGCACAGAACTTTTGGTGGGCAATATGTAAAACTGTGATTATTATAGCCCTCCGCCTGGGAAGGATGGTTGAGCAGGCTTATCCTCCACGTTTCAGGGGTGAGGTGGTAGAGAAAACACCTGGATTATATTGGAACGTGGGTGGCTTGAAAAATAAAATAAATAAGAAACACTACATTTTAGCCAAAACTTTGAAAAGAGGGCTTTATTAGTCAAGAAACTGTGAGAAAGGCATGCAAACCTCGACTAGGGTTTTCACAGTGTGAAAATTTAACCTCACGGTTATTGTGACCAAAATTATCCCGTTTTCTGTATTATCACGATATTTTTTAAATGTGTTACATTTTCAGACAACTACATGAACCCTGTATATCAGGAAAATATTGTCCTCAGTTTGTGTCTAAATTTTGCCTAAAATGTGTAATTTTGTAATGATGTTGTTTATTTGTTTACATTTTCCCCTTTAGTCTTTAAAATACCAATATTTGCCCATAACTTCTTATTTTTTGTCTGTTTGATGTCATCATTTTAAAAATATTAGACGAGATGATACTCAGTACTCAAGTAGCCTTCTAATCAGATACTTTTTTACCCTTACTTGAGTAATAAACCCTTTATCAGGAAAATATTGTCCTCGGTTTGTGTCCTTCCGGTGAGCTTTGCAGATGTGGGAAAATGTCATCAGGCAGTAATCATTGTTAAATTCATTATTATTCTAGGAGAGAGACCAACTCTTATCTGCCCCTGGGAGCCCCGTAATGCATAGTGTCATTTCAACATGGGGGTGTCCGCGACACGGTTTATATGCAGGTAGCGGCGCTGCGGCTGCTTTATATAGCGACTCGTTGCATTCTCCCTCAACCCAAATCCTCGGATCACGCATTTTAGCTAAAACGCTAACTTGCCTTGCGTTGACTGTAGAGTTGTGGGTGATGGTCACGCTGATGTGTCATGAGATTTGAAGTGTTGCTGCCTTTCACAGACACTCCTTACTGGGAGAGTTAGGGTTACCCTAACCCTAACCCTGCACGTTCTGCAAACAGGAGCCGTCTTCTATAAACTGTCCCTCGGCATTCTTCAAATATCCAAAAAATGCCTGTACTTCCGACTTTGTCTTCTTTGAGGGATGATAAATGTCCTGAGCACTGCCGTCTCCTCCTTTGGCCATTATTTCAGCTTTTGCTTCAAGAAAGTTTTGGTTGTAAACAACAAAGTGCGCATGTGCCGCCACCAACTTCAGCAGATGATACGGTGGCTGGTAAGGGTCACCGCGCCTACACCGCAGCCACGATTATTCACTGAGATAATATTTTTTTTAAAAACAAGACGGTTATTATCATTGTCAACTTTTTTACCGGGGTTTGCCACTACACCGGTTACCGTGACAACCCTAGCGTGTACACAGTGTCCATTGGACGCCACCGAGATAACGGCATAATTTGGAACAATAACCTTCAAATTCTTACTGGAGGACTCGCCACATCTGGATTAGTGACGAAACTGGGGAAACATAATGAAAGACTGAGAGATAAAAACCCTACTGAGGTCCATCTGACCCCTTTAGGAATGTGGGAGGGTTAAATTAAAATCACAATAATTTATGAATTTGAACCAGAATTTGTTTGAAAGTTTTCTTACTATTTTGGAACTTACTGAAATATTCAATAAGACTATTTTGTATTTAAAACCCCTGAAAGAATAAAAGATGCAGTGAATTATGTGTTATTCATAGCATCAACAAAGATGACATTAGCTGCCTTATGCTTACAGGTGCCAGTAATGCTAACGCCATGTACATAAACAGCTGACAGTGAAATCGTGTTAGCAGAACAAAATTAGGTGGTCATAAAGTAAAAGGATCATCTGTAGAATGTTTTTCACCAGGCAGGAAGTGATCAGGCTTAGTGTGTCGCACTTTAAATCGTCCCAGTAGAAACAATCCTGAAACATGGAATGTTCTCAGTCTTCCTGAGAGACAGGATGTGATGATTTTATGACCTTTTCTGCTTTGGCAGATCATCGACTCTAGTTATTATTATGTCATCCACCCCAACAGCAGCAGTAGCTCAACAGGTTGAGCAGGTTGTCCAGTAATCGGAAGGTTGCAGGTTCAATCCCGGCTCCTGACAGAATTCTGCTGTTGTGTCCTTGGGCCCACCTTGCCTGCTGGTGGTGGTCGGAGGGACCGGTGACCCTGTGCTCGGCAGCCCCGCCTGTCAGTGCGCTCCAGGGCAGCTGTGGATACATCGTAGCTCATCACCATCAGTGTGTGGCTGTGTGTGTGAATGGATGAATGATACACTGTAGTGTAAAGCACTTTGGAGTCCTCACTCTGAGAGGCGCTATACAAGTGCGGGTCATTTAACAGTGAGCCCAGTTTAATGTAAGTGAAGATCAGATATATTTGCGTTTTAGTATTTTTTTAACAGACATTTTATTTTGAAGGACAGACAGGACACTGCCCTATGGATAGCCCCTTGTTGGTTAAGGTCTCATCCATCGACATATAAATATTGGACAGTGGGTTTCCATAGGCTCCAATTAGGCCTGGGCGGTATGGCAAAAATGTCATATCGCGGTATTTTTTTCAATTATATCGGTTTTACGGTATTTGACGGTATTTTTCACAAGGCTTTGATTACCCAGATTATTTTTATAAGAAAATATTTACTGCACTAGATTGGCCTTAAATAGCCTGTTTACCTTCATGTGCAGAATACCAGTTTTTCCATGTCCAGTCACAGGTAGGTTAATGCAGAAACCCCCTCAAAGTATCCTTGTCAAAAGAAAGCAGTTAAGAAAAACAACTAGGAAAATCCTGCAGTCAAAATAAACTATTTACTGAACACTTTTTGCATATAATCTGTGCAGTTAACCATCTTTATGATTTCACATCCAACATTATTGCGTTGGTTATCTTGACCCACCGCTTGCTATTTTTTTTAAATACAGTCCCTTTAGCGAACGCGTCTTTAATGGACGTCTGACTCTGACTGCTACTAGCCGTTTTAGCCTTGGAGGTGGAGGGTGCAGATCGATGCTCGTGACATGCTTGGTATTCCAAGACGTGTTTTCGGCTGAGTTGATGAAGCAAGTTGCTGATATTACCCCCGCCGGCTACCACCGTTGCTTGACAGCATTTGCATATAATAGTTGTTTGCTCCACGTCCGAATTTTTAAACCCGAAATACCTCCAAACAACAGACGTGGCTCCTCTTTTTGGAATAAGCTCTTCTGCGTTCAAAGTTCTGATGTCGCCGTGACAGCAGCCGCCATTCTTGGTTTCACCACGCTGTGGTGTTTGTGTGTAGCAGTGAAATGAGTCCCAGCTGAAACACTTTCCTACTACGAACGTTCTGTATGTTGTTCTGGCCATTCACCGGTATAGCGTTATGTGAAAAATTCATATCATAACCAAAATAAACACCGGTTTGTAGTATGAACTGGTATGCCGCCCAAGACTAGCTCCAATAACACGTTTTTGAAGAAAAATGGGAGGAGGCCACCACCTCCATTTTGACCGTGTCACAGGTTCCGTCAAGCCCAGACAATTCCACAAAAGGGAAGAGAGGTGGAGCTGAGGGTGGGGCTGTATGGCTGGCATCAACTGATGACACCCGGTAGAACTAGCTACAAGCTAACCTGACGCTAACCCAAAGCTAACGCGGAGGTGGGAGATAAGCTAACGGAGGTAGCAACCTAGCTACAACCAGAGTTAACTGTGCACAACACCAGAGCTTCTGAGTCAGAGATACGCCGGGCTGACCGCTGGGTAAAACTGGGTGGAACACAGAGGTCTCCCGAGACCTCCACAAGCCGGCAGCCGCACAGCAGACAAGCGCCGCTGCGATCTGAGATGCGCAGAGCTGACGCTGGGGAGAACCGGGTGGAAAGGTTTCCATCCCAGAGCTCCACAAGCCGGCAGCCCGCGCAGCAGACAGAAGCCGTGATCAGACAGAGATGTGCCGAGCTGCGGGGAGGGGAGAACCGGGTAGAAAACAGAGGTCTCCCGAGAGCTCCACAAGCCGATAGTCGGAACCCAGCTCCACCAACATGTTATATTTCAACCCATTTTCTTAAGTGCGGCATTATGTTAAATGCACTGGGTTTTACCCTATTACATTTAAATTTCATGGTTAAACAGTACATGTTAAAATCTAAGCTCAGCTCGGCAGTGACCTAAAATGCATAAATATAATTTTACTTACCCAAAAAAATGGAGACTCCTTGGACGCTCTATTAGTGCAATTAATGCCACAGCAAGTCATTTTGTCCAACAATTGCACAAAAAATATCCAAAAAAGCATACACAAACACAGAGACTCAAAATCCCGGAACAGTTTCCAAGCCAGACCGAGGCTCTACTGAGGCCTTTCCACTGAGCTAGCTCTGTGGTCACGTGGGTCTGATGCTCATTAATTAGGATCAGGAGGCGTGCGTCATCAGAAGATACAGGGTGAATTTCCACAGTTACGCTGACGATACACAGTTGTACATCTCCGTGTCTCCTGATGATGCACAGCCAATGGAAACACTTTTTAACTGCATTTTAGATATTAAATCATGGATGACTGAAAACTTTCTCCAGCTCAACCAAGGCAAAACTGAAGTTTTAGTCATCGGTCCTGAGGCCCAGAGAGAGAAACTTTTACCTAAACTCCAATCATTGTCTTTTTATCCATCACTACAAGTGAAGAATCTGGGTGTTATTTTCGACTCTGAGCTGACTTTTATCCCCCACATTAAAAACATCACAAAAATAGGTTTTCACCATCTTAAGAATATCGCCAGAGTCCGCCCCATTCTCTCTCGGGCCAATACGGAGACGCTGATGCATGCTTTTGTAACCAGTAGAATTGATTACTGCAATGCCCTGCTTTCTGGTCTTCCCAAAAAGAGCATCTCAGGTTTACAACTTTTACAAAACTCAGCAGCACGTGTCCTGATGAAGACCAGGAAGTGGGAGAACATCACTCCGGTTTTAAAATCACTGCACTGGCTCCCCGTATGTTTCAGGATCGATTTTAAGGTTCTTTTAATGGTTTTTAAGTGTCTTAATGGTCTTGGGCCTTCTTATCTTTCAGAAATGCTTTTACTATATAAACCCTCGCGGTCTCTGCGCTCCTCTGGCAGCCGTCTCCTAGTTATCCCTAAAGTTAAGACTCACACCCACGACGAGGCGTCCTTCAAGTATTACGGCCCTCGCCTTTGGAACGGGCTGCCGGAGGGCCTCAGGGCCGAAGGGAACGTCCAGGCTTTTAAGAATAGGCTCAAGACCCACCTTTTTAGCTTAGCTTTTAACTGATTACTATTTATCTAGTCTGTTTAACTGAATCGTCTGTCATATTTGTTTATATATATATATATATATATATATATATATATATATATATATATATATATATATATACACAGTATCATATATATATATATATATCTTTTAATTAATTTTATCATTTTATTTACATCTTAGTGTTTTTACATGATTATGTTTTCTTTTACTATCTTTATAATCACTTTTTATCCATATTAGCTTTTGATATTTTACAGTTATATATTTTAATCCTCCAGTGTTTCCTCTGCGGAGCCCTCTGCCTTGGGGCCGGTGGTCGGCGGCCGGGGCGCTCCTCGGGTAGTGCCCGGGCAGTGGTGGGGATTTTTGCCCTCCCCCACTGGGCGTCATGGGCCGGTGTCTTGGCTGCTGCCGTGGATCTGTTGCTGTCGGGGCAGATGGCTCTGCTGATGATGTGTCGTTCATTACCTGACCCATCTGAACTCAGCCTATTGTTTCCTCTGTTGTGTGTGTGTGTGTGTGTGTGTGTGTGTGTGTGTGTGTGTGTGTGTGTGTGTGTGTGTGCGCGCGCGCGCGCATGGATGAGTGTGCGGGTGATTGTTTGTCCACTTTGGAAGTTGGGAGCGGGAGGGGAACCGTAATTGTCAATTGTTTTATACTTGGGGAGGGGGGCTGGGATGGGAATATGGGATCTATGGGGCCATTTTAATCTGTGAAGCACTTTGAGTTGCATTTTTTTTGTATGAAAAGTGCTGTATAAATAAAGTTGATTTTGATTAGAATTATACAGAATTTAGGCTTTTAATACACTTAAACAGAAGAGTGAGAAAAAAATTCACCCCCCTCAGTGTAAACTAAATAATTTAAACCAAAAACATGTTTTGGTACCAGGCTGTAAACATGTTTATTTCTGCTGTGAAATTGGTATTTTTAACATGGGAGTCAATGAGGATTTGCTCGCTTCTGACACCAGCCCCCAGTGGATGAGGGTGGAACTGCAAGTTTTGTCACTTCCGCGTTGGCCTCAATTTTTCACCCGCATTGTGGGGGCTTGGTCTCATCATGTCTATTGTTTGTTCAGATATGAACTTTCCTAAACCGTTTAGCTGTAATCACTAATCTGATGCTTCAAAAGCGCCATGATTGTGTTTGTTTCCATCTTCAGGGATCAATAGCACTAAGTGGTAGGGGGGACGTGGTGAAATGAGACTCACCCAAAGCCTGTCATTTATCTGTCAAACACACACGTTATGTTTTCATAAGTGATCGTTGAAAAAGAAGGAATGTTTCAGAACTGAGGGAAGAAGCCGCAGCTCGTTTGACGTGTCGGGGAACATCCCGTTTGTGTTTTTGGGTTAGGGTCATCACGCTGTGATAGATTTCTTCGTTTGTTCAGATCCGTTTCAGTCAAATGTCAGGTTTTGTTTTTGAACCAGTGAAAGATGAGTAGAAACTCCTTCAGATGTCCGTTTGTTTCCGTGATCCTGTCTGCAGTCAGAAAACACAGGAGAGGTTTAAATGTGATTATCCACAGTGAACTCATGTGACCCTCTCTGTCCCTCAGCGCTGAAACATGGCTCTGAGCAGCTTCCATGTGCTCCTGCTGCTCCTCCTGCGGGCTCTGCTGGCATCAGCTGAGGGCTCAGGTATTCTCTTCCCTTTTCCTCCAGTCTGATTTGTGCTTTTTGGGTGTAGTTTTTGTATATTTAGAGAATGTGTCACCAAACTAACCTCTACAGAGCCCAGAGGAATCACAAAGCAACATTATCACAAAACTGTGTCTGCTTTTGGTCATTACTGTGCAAACGCAACAGAAAACATCATAATTACAGTTTTCTTTTACAGCGGTGAGGTGCTTTGAAATGTCTCTGTGTGTCGATCTCCCGTCCTGTCTTTTACAGACGAACATCTGGAGTGTATCTGTGAAGGCCCAAAGTGCCTCCAGGCCTCAGAGTGCCGCGGCAGCAGCTGCTTCTCCTCGATAAGGGTCAGTGGCGGTGAGGAGCTGTTTGAGCGCGGCTGCCTAAAAGGACCTGAGCAGATCCAGTTGCAGTGCTCCACCTCGCCGTTCCCCCACCAGGCTATCTTGTGCTGCTCCCAGCACCTGTGCAACAGCAACACCAACAGCAGCTCGCTCAAGTCTCGTCTTCTGTCAGGTCATAAAGGGCTGTAGCTGATACGAGTAACCCATACAAACGTGGGTAATTTATTCATAATTTACCTTTTCCCACAGCTCCTGAAGGGGAACCGGTTCGGTATCGAGTGGAGACATTAGCTCTCTTTGTTCTCGGTCCTGTGGTGGTTCTGGTCCTGCTCTCTGTGGCGTTGGTGCTGGCCTGCAGGAGGCTCCATCATGGCCGCCTCCAGAGGCTGCAGGAGTTTGACACGGAGCAGGGAGATGGTCTCATCACCTCCAACGTGGGGGACAGCACCTTAGCGGTAAGAATGAAGCTGCTAACCCCCTCTACGGTTCATTAGCAGGTCATGAGAGTTAGCTAACATGAGACATGTCTCCAGGACTTACTGGATCACACGTGTACGTCTGGCAGCGGTTCGGGGCTTCCCTTCCTCGTACAGAGAACCGTGGCCCGCCAAATCAGCCTGGTGGAGTGTATAGGTACGTGCTGCTGGTTCCATTCCCAGTGTTTCTTTATTTTAAGAGTCAGATTTAGACTTTTGCAGGTTCTCAACGGGGTTGCTGTCAGTTTGTAGCTGTTATTTTCTTTGTTGACTGGCTTTTATTCAGGTAAGGGGCGGTACGGAGAGGTGTGGAGAGGCCAGTGGCAGGGCGAGAATGTCGCTGTGAAGATCTTCTCCTCCAGGGACGAAAAGTCGTGGTTCAGAGAGACGGAGATCTACAACACGGTGCTGCTGCGACACGAAAACATACTGGGTGAGTCCTAGAATCAACATGTTGACGTTTGACCTTTGACCTCAGATGTAATCAGAGCCGTGGCTTCCACACAACGTGAGCTAATCCATGAAATGTGCTCCTCAGGGTTCATGGCGTCTGACATGACGTCTCGGAACTCCAGCACCCAGCTGTGGCTCATCACCCACTATCATGAAAACGGTTCCCTCTACGACTACCTGCAGCGAGTGGCGGTGGAGACGTCGGAGGGCTTGGCCATGGCGGCGGCGATAGTGTGCGGCCTGGTGCACCTGCACACCGAGATCTTTGGCACTGAGGGGAAACCGGCCATCGCTCACCGAGACCTGAAGAGCAAAAACATCCTGGTGACCAAGGAGCTGCGCTGCTGCATCGCCGACCTCGGTCAGCTCTAACGATTACTTTGGCGTTTTTATGAGTTTTCTCCTTTTTTTAAATCACTAATAATGTTGGATTGCTGCAGATTGTTTTTAACGGTCTGATGGTGCGTTTCAGGGCTGGCAGTGACTCACTCACAGGCAGACAACCTGCTGGACGTGGGCAACAACCCAAAGGTTGGCACCAAACGCTACATGGCACCAGAAGTTCTGGATGAAACCATTCAGACCGACTGCTTTGATGCCTATAAGAGAGTGGACATATGGGCCTTTGGACTGGTGCTGTGGGAGATAGCGAGACGCACGTACAGCAATGGTTAGTGAGTGGTAATGCTACGGTTTTACCATCTGTGCACGGCGTTCTGCTTTACTGAGGTCATCCATGTTGAAGTCTGCTTTTTATTTTTTTGCGCAGGTATCGTGGAGGAGTACAAGCCGCCGTTTTACGATCAGGTGCCAAACGACCCCAGCTTTGAGGACATGAGGAAGGTGGTGTGTGTGGAGCAGCAGCGGCCTTTCATTCCCAACCGCTGGTTCTCAGATCCTGTAAGTAGTTATGAGTTAGTGGTTCGCTCCTTCAGTCTGACACTTGTTTGTTTCATCAGGAGCAGAAAACAAGTAAACAATGATGCTAACATGGTTGTAGACTCGAGTATTTCACATGTTCTTGGTTTGAAATGTTTCTTTAAGTGGTTTTAAAGAACGTGAGATGGGGACTCCCTTTTTAAACCTGATCTAATTAAAACATGCTTTAGATGAGACCCGTATCGAGCAGGTGAAACCAGGTGGAGGTTTTGTGCGTTCTGATTGGCTCAGAACTGTTAGTTACAAATCCCAGAATGCACTGGAGCAGCCCAGCCCCTCTGAGGCCTGGAACAGGTGAATTCTTCACATTTAATGATGCTGAAGATCTTATTTGGCTTGAATAACATATCATTTTTATTTTGGGTGAGCCTGAGCTGATTTAACGAGTGACACGGCTGGACATGCTCATGACTCATCTAATGGTCTCTGCAGACGCTCTCTGCTCTGGTGAAGCTGATGAAGGAATGCTGGTACCAGAACCCGTCTGCCCGGCTCACAGCCCTGCGCATCAAGAAGACTCTGGAGAAGATTCACAGCTCTCTGGAGAAGGGCAAGGAGTCCTGAGGGTGTGTGTGTGTGTTGGAGGCAGCTGCATGACGTCAGGGATTCAATAAGAGCTCAATGTTATAATGAGGAGAAGCTAATCAGATGATGAACTGGAGCAGCAGCCGTCCTTCTTTCTGGTCGACTACACGACTGTAGAGATGTGTCTGGAGACGCCCGCCTTCGCTGAACCAGCTGACCTGAACAGTTACAGCGTGTGTGTGTGTGTGGACACCGGTGGCTGTAACACACACTTCCTTCTGGATTCAGCCTTACTACAAACACACCAAACACTACATTTCTGATTTCCAGACAGCATTTTTTTTTCTTTGGGAAGTGGCGCTCTCTGTTCAGACACGATAAAATGCTCCTCTTTATTAGAACGAGCCACAAAAACAGGAAATGTCCTCGTAGGAGGAAAAGAGCTACAGCTGGTTTTTAAACACTTGTTTTTTGAAGATATTATATGATATTTATATAATAACTCTCCTGTTACCACACTACTGAGGATATATGTATGTATGATGATTGTACTTATGTAGGCTGACAGCAGGAAGTGAAACGTGTTTGTGGGAAAAGGATGAAACACAATAAGGATCTTTAAATAGGAGTTTGTATAAAAGTCTTTGTTCTTTATTCCCTGATTTAAACAACGGTGGAGTTAAGTGGGCGACCAGTAAGCCCTCAAAACAAAACAACTTTACTGGAAACGGTTTAATCCAAGACTTTTTTAAATAAGCAGTTGCCTCGGTTTACAAAGAAATTAGTTCACAAGTGCTGGTTTTGTTTCAAGAGGGAAAACATGTTGCTTTGTGTTTTTATATGTAATAAAACATTTACTGGACTTTTTCCCAACTGTACTTTTCTTTCCTCCTATCTACAGCCCAGCTTAGACGGTGACCTCAGTGTTGTTTCAGCTGGTCTGGTAGAGTCTTGTAAGGGTTGAGGATGCCTTTAGGGTCCAGCATGGCCTTGATGTTCCCCATCAGAGCCACAGCTGGCCTCGGCTTACTGTAGTAGATGTAGTTCCTCTTTTTCAGACCCAGTCCGTGTTCTGCACTGATGCTGCCATGATATCTGGCCGCCCATTCGTACACGAATGGCTCGATGGCCGCCAGGAGAACAGGGTCCTTCACAGGAGAAGTCACGTTCAGGTGGAGGTTTCCGTCGCCTGCCAGGTTAGAGCAGAAAGGGTCAAGTTGTGTTTGGAATGAGATTAAAACGGTGTTGAGATGCTCTTACCAACATGGCCGTATCCCACCACACGCTTGGCCCTGCTTCCTAGGTGCTGCCTCATGTCGGTCACCAGCTGGTAGATCCGCTCCACTGGAAGGGAAATGTCGTACTTGTAGTTGAAGCCGTCATGAGTCAGCGCTTCGGTGACACGCTCACGCATCGACCACAGGGCCTGGACAGGTAGGAAAGGGAAAAGGTCTCGTTCTGTAAGAGCATGGCGACCTGAAACTCAAACTCTTACAATAACATCATTCATCTCCCAGATCTGTGTTTAGTTTCCCTGCAGCAGGAAGTCACCAGCCCGATTAAACCTACAGCTGACACGAAGGTTCAGGTTCCATTTATCTGTAGCTGCATCCTAATGATGTTACTTCCTGGAGAGAGAGAGAGAGTGGTGGAGCTTTTGCACATGGTGACGTTTCCATGACAACACAAATTGAACAACCTGCAGAAAAGTGAATCAACTAATTGTTGTAGGTCCTACAAAAAAACCCACCGGCACTGCTGTTCAGTAATGGAAGTAATGAAGTGCAAGTACTTTATTACTGTACTTAAGTAATTTAACTGAGATCTACTTTTTACTTTTACTCTTTGACATTTCAAAGCAGTAATCTGTATTTTCTACTCCAAGACATTTTAAGTTTCAAAAGTATAAGTACTCTCATTTGTGTTTTCTTTAACCCCCACAGCACACTTCTACACACACATTGCACATTTATGTTAGTTGAATACCTTTACTTTTAAGTACATTTGAAAATGCATACTTTTATACTTAGATCAAAAATTTCTTGGATTTTTTACTTAAGTGGTGTTTTACGTACTTCTTCCTTTCTCATGGGCCTTTTGGCAACAAGTTCGAGACTAAATCTCGCAAAAGCATAACTAAAAATATCTGTTGCAGTCTCGGTTTCTACTTAACGAGGCGCTCGTCTCACGAGCTCCCAGTGGCTTTTGCATCAACATTCACGATAATTTTGCAGGAATTTCATGGAAATCTCCAGATAAATACATTTGGAATCTATTAAAATAGAGCTCTCGATGGTGGATATACGCGTCTCCGTGGCTAGCTGAGCTTGACATCAGTGAGTTGGTCTCCACTAGGGCCGCTCTTACAGGCTGTCCAGGACCCATGGGACTGCACCGTGGCATTTCATGAAAAATTCCTACTGAGGTAATCTTCAAATGTGTGTGAGAGAACTGTTAACTCGTCACTCCACCTAATGGGGTGGCTCATTAATGGATATTGTAGGTGTTTGGGATGGTTATGAGGGACTAACTCAAAATAAACTCGCATCTGAGGTCATCATAACAAAGATGAGGCCAAGGCTGCATCACTGATGTGTTTTTATCAGCTCTGAGACACAAGGGCTGTGTGGTGGAGCCTACCTCTGCAGGAAACACAAAGTAAGTATTTGTTATTAAGTAAACCCACAAAGCCACTAAAGAACAAGAACGTTTATTAGTTACCTTAATTTTTGATTCCTCGGTCGCTACAGTTCCATCAGTAACTAATAACGACTTCATCGCTTCCTCGAGAAAGTTGTGGAGCTTCTGCGCGTCGTGACTCGGATCAGACCCAGATGTTTCTATGACGATGTAAAACGAGCAATCTGCAGAAGAGAGGAGTAACTGATGACTGTTTTTGATTAGCTCATCACATTTGTGTGTGTGTGTGTGACCACTCACCAGAGATGGGATTGGACAGTTTGAGGTGTGTGTTCAGCAGCTTCATGCATTCACTATCCAAGAACTCAAAAGCTGAGAGAATTTCTCCCAGCATGCCTCTGCAGAGCTGGAAGGCCTTCAGCAGTTGCTCAAAGGTTTCACATCCTAAAAAAGTAGAAGCAAAAACACGTAGGACTCAAAAGGATTTACTTTTAACACTCGTGGGTGTGAGAAACAAAGAAGTTCCTACCTAAGAAGAGCACGTTAACAGACTTGGGCTTTCGGGGACAAAGGATGGAGACTGCAGTGATGACCCCCAAAGTGCCCTCAGAGCCGATGAAGAGCTGTTTGAGATCATATCCTGTGTTGTCTTTTCGCAGCGTGGACAAGCAGTCCAGCACGCGTCCGTCTGCCAACACCTAAAGCCACAGGTCCAACAGAAAGTCACGTAGACGCGAAAAAGCAACATCTGGCACTCGCTTTTTGTTCAAATGCTGGCAGCTCACAAAGGAGGGTAGTAAAGGTCTCGCATTTACAAATTCCACTCACCACTTCAAGACCCAGCACCGTTCCATGTAAGGAGCCATACCGCAGCAGGCGCAGCCCGCCTGCATTTGTCGCCACATTACCTCCGATCTGGCAGCTACCTTTAGCCCCGAGGTCCAGGGGCATGATGTAGTCCCTCTCTTCCAGGAAGAGGGACAAGTTCTCCAAAACACACCCTGCCTGACATGTAAGAATACCTAAAGAGGAGATCCGTGTCCATTTTAAAGCTTTTCTCCATCATTGTTTGGGCTGAAAGTTTGAGACTTACCAGAGATGTGATCAAAGGAATGTATGTTGTTCATTAGAGAGGTGGAGAGGATGATCTCATCATAAACAGGCACACTGCCACCAACAAGACCCGTGTTACCTCCTTGAGGGTTCACTGCCAGGTTGTGGGAGCTACAGTATCTGCAGAAGGAAAACCATCACCATCTAAACCAGAGTAAACAGATCAACACTTGTATCTTTTAGCGATTAGTCGTGTACCTAAGAATTTGTGACACTTCCTCTGTTGTCTGAGGTCTCAGCAACAATTCACTCGACCCTGTAGGAGACGCAAAAGCCTAATTAAATCTACACAACAATAAATGTGTGAATCCAGTTGAAGGCTTCACCTCTCACAGACTTCAGCCAGTCCACATTACTGGACTCCACCAGGTCAGGGTCAGTTATGGCTCTTCCGGGGAGAATCTGACTGAAAAAGGCCAGATCTTCCACAGATACTCTGGAGAAAGGCAGCCTGTCTGGGGCTGAAGCAGGAGAAGACCTGGACCCATCTTCTCCTACATGATGCAACCTCCGAGATAAGGACATAAACCGGGCAGAAGTCTGGATGGGACACAGTCTCTGGAGGTCTGTGGGGGGAAACGGTGCTGTATAGGACAGGAGTCTCAGAGCTGCTCTCAGCCTGGAGGCTCCCTGGAAAAGTCCCAGCATGCCTGGTGACAAGTGACAAGCTGCGGAATGAAAGGATAAATCAAAGGGTGTGTATGTGTATTTATTTGTGTTTAGCTAACAAGCTGCAGACAAGCATTATGTAGTCTGCAGTTTACAAAGCTAGCTTAGCTTCTGTGACATCGATCAACAATATTTACTAAAGTCAAACCGCCGTTTGCTCACCGTAAACGTTCACTTTACGACACGAAACTCTCCGTCCACGTGAGGTTTTGTTTTTTGTATCATATCAAACTCCAAAGTCCGCCATGAAGCTCGAAAGCAAAGCAGCTCAGTAAACCAATGACCCAGTCGGTGCGCGTGACGTCTGTTTTAGCCTTTTTTTTATTTTACTGCCTCCTTACGTGAGTTGTTTTTAATGAGCGTAAAATCAATTTCATTGTACATCTGTGCAATAACATAAATGAGACCTTTAATCTTGACTCGAGTTTGTTTACAGCTAGCGCGTCACACCTGAAGTTGTGAAGGAAAAGGATGAAAAGAATAGACCAATCAATGGGTTGCTTACAAAATACGCCAATGGAATTAGAGCTTTCATTGTGATCCAGCAGCCAATACGGGCCTTTTGAATTCTACCCTTTAGTCAGCTATTTACCTAGTTATCTCCCCTCTGAATAGATTTTACATCCATTTATATACCATTTATGTACTTTTTAAATTAATTTAGGGCAACGTGGGTTATAATTTGATGTAAGGCTTAATAATATTTAATAAATAATATGGATTAAAAAATGACAAGTCTTAGTTGCTAATTTGACTATTTTACTGTACATACATTAACTTGGCAACCGGTGAACTTAATTTTTAATGAAATTATGACTGAATTACCTAAATTAAGCCATTTTAATACATTTTTGTGTAACTTTAAAAGCCCGGAGATGACTGATGTGATGAGTAGCGGGCCACACCAGCAGCAACAAAACTGCACATTAAAAGAAAGAGCAAATATCAAAACTAACAGATCAGTACAAATTTATTTAAATCTGACATATTTTAATGTGCTCATCATGCATTCTGTAAGGAACAGCATGCATCCAGACTTCTCCCCACTCTTCTCAGCCTCCAGGATTTATGTCATTTTCTTCTATGAAGGTAAAAACAGTTTACGCTTTCAGTGAGGATCATACTTTACATTCCCTGAACACACTTAAAGCTAACACAATGTGACTATCTGGGAACAGAACAAAGAATAAAACCAGTTAAAAAAAATACAACAAATCCAGTTTAAAGTAAAAACCATTTAAGGCTTTATATATAAAAAAACACAGACGGATAATCAGCAACACTGATAATCCCACCAAAGACGTGCGTCTGCTCGGGACACATCTGCATCATAGCTGCCGGTAACACTCGTATTTGTGTGATCTTTGTGAATATTTACAGCATGCAGTTTTTTCATCTTGAAACGGGAACACGGACTCAATAACACAAACAATACTTTGCAAGTGAAGTGATTGGCTTATTTTCAGGCTTAGCACCTCTGCATGTGTTTCCAGGTTTTGGAGCTTCTGCAGAACCGTCTTATTGGCCGTGGCGGTGCCGGTCTGATGCAGTAGCATGATCATAAACCCCAAACCTGTCTGGGGCTTCTGAGGTCCATTGACACTAGACCCAGCAGCACGACCCCCTTCTGCCTCTGGGCGTTTCCTGTTCTCTCCACTCTCATGCCAACGAGACACTTTGTTTGGGACAGAACTGATCTACGGTCAGCTGCTGCTGGTCAAAGTCTGAGATGAGCTTCTTAATGTGAGCCAGTTTGTCGTGGAGATGCTCGCAGCGAACTTTGTCCTGATTGTAGTTGGGGTTGCACTAGAGACAAACATATATAGAATTATTTATCAGGTAAAAACATGTTGAGCTTTAAAACAAGACATTTACCTTTTTAATTTTCTGATACTCTTGAAGAATTTTATTATGAACCGTCTGAGAGGAAACACAAAAAGAGGGAGTGAATGCAGATTTAACGTCATACAAGTTAAATCACACAAATCTAAACTATCCGAGTCCGTTTCTTAATTATTTAGCTTAAAAGCAGCTAAATAACAAAGATCTAATAGATTCTGCAGCTTGACTTCAGGTTTGACTGCACCAATAAAAGATGCTTTTATCCACATAACGATGCTAACTACACTCTGAAGAACAAAGCAGACCTGCAGGAACGTGATAAAAATGTCGCATTTTCACTACATGAAGGCTGCGGCTGCATTTCTTCACCTTGTATTTATGGGAATCGTGACGAAGTAGTTTGAGCTGCGCGTCCAGCTCCATGAACTGCCGCGTCACGCCGTCGATACGAGCGTGCAGGTCCCTGTACTCGCTGTACTCCTTGTTAAAATCTTCCTTATAACTCTGCCTCTGGTCGTAGCGGCAAATCACCGTGTACTTTCTGTTCAGAGAAAACAAAAATCACCAGTAAAAACAGCTTTCACACACATTCAGCTAAATGATCACAGGTGTAATGTTTATTTAAAGCCTCAAGCAAGAGAACGTTGATCCTCTTAAGATTAACATAAACTGGACTTACGATAAATAATCTGCTGATTCGGGATCCGCTCGAGGCTCGTCAGAATCAAACAACATCTCGTTCGGCTCTGAAGAATAAAACAAAGTCGGTGAGAAGGAACATCCATACTTCAGGTTTCTAATCCGTTATTGCTCACCTGGGTCTTCTAGAGTCACTTTGTCATCTGTAACCTCTGTTCTTCGTTCTTTCCTGCCTCTCCACCTGTCTTCGTCCTTGGTTCAAAAGAAAACGCATCATTACCAGTGTGATAAACACAGGAACCCACTGAAGGTCATGACCTGAGAGTGTTCTGACCTGATCTCTGTGTTTGTGTTTGCTCTTCTTTTTTTTGACCGTGTGTCTGCTCAGATCAGGAACCGTCAGCAGGGACGAGGGGCGGCTAGAGTTTATTAAAGGGTGTCTCTCAGGGTCTTTTTGTCCCTCGTGAGCAGCATCCGTCAGCTCTAGTCTTTTAGCCACTTCTGCTTCCTGTTGACAAACTGCTGACAGCGAGTCCATCAGTTTTTTAGGATAGAGTGAGTTTCCTTGCCTGTCCTCCGCTTTCACTTCCGTGTCCTTGTGAGTCCTGTGTTTGGACGGCCTCAGCCCTAAGTTTTCACCAGTTGCTTTGCTTGACAAGTGGGAGATCCGAGGCTTCTTGCTGGCCACATGGTCCGTGGACTCCTCCAACAGCGCTTGTCTTGGACGGTGTGCTGGTGACGAGTTGGGGGTGTCTCGTAGAGGGCTGACCTGCGCCTCGGGAACAGTCAGGAGGTTTTGTTGTGGTTGGAAAAGTCGCCTGCAAAGAAACAGCAAGTACTTTCACAAAGTGAAAACACAGAATAGAACTGATGGGACTCCACTTTAAAACCATCCTTTAAATGATAAAGATGCTCCTGAGAGCAGTTTGACTCTGAAGTGCTGCCACTGGCCTGCTGCTGGCACATAACCACCAAAATAACAACTTACTGCAAAGCTGGTTGGATATGGCGTTAAGAAGCCAAGATGTTTATGTTTATGTATTTAGCAGACGCTTTTGTCCAAAGCGACTTACAAGTGATAATCGGCATGTTGCCCTTGAGGCTAACAACAACAATAAAAAAAACTTGGCATCAATCATGGAGAGGAGGGAACAAGGAGTGGACAGTAGAGAGGGGGGACGGGTGCAGGGAGGGTGCTAGTTTAGAAGATGCTCTCTGAAGAGCAGGGTCTTCAGGAGTTTCTTGAAAATTGAAAAGGAAGCCCCTGTTCTTGTAGTGCTTGGAAGGTCATTCCACATTTGTGAAACGATGCATGAGAAGAGTCTGGATTGTCCTGAGTGTGGTGTAGGCACTGCTAGCCGACGATCCTGTGATGACCGGAGCGGTCGGGCCGAGACGTAAGCCTTTGCAAGAGGATTCAGGTAGATGGGAGCCGTACCATCTCGGACTTTGTATGCTAGTGTTAGCAATTTGAATCTGATGCGTGCTGCTAGCGGTAGCCAGTGGAGCTCAATGAACAGAGGGGTGACGTGTGCTCTTTTTGAAGACCAGACGCGCCACTGCGTTCTGGACCATTTGAAGAGGTCTCACAGTACAGGCTGGAAGACCAGTTAGAAGGGCATTGCAGTAATCGAGGCGGGAGATGACAGTAGATTGCACCAGGAGCTGGGTGGCATGTTGTGTTAGGTATGGTCTGATCTTTCGTATGTTATACAGCGCAAAGCGGCATGAACGAGCAACAAAGGCAACGTGATCTTTAAAGGTCAGGTGTTCATCAATCACAACACCCAGATTTCGAACTGCCTTTGAAGGAGCCAGAGATAGGAAGTCATTTTGTATTGAGATATTGTGCTGTATGGAAGGTTTTGCTGGGATGACAAGTAGTTCCGTTTTAGAGGTTGAGTTAGAGATGGTGGGATTTCATCCATTTTGATATGTCAGAGAGACAGTTTGATATTCGTGCAGAGACAGTGTGGTCGTCCGGTGGAAATGACAGAGCTGGGTGTCGTCTGCATAGCAGTGGTAGGAGAAGCCATGTGATCGAATGATCTCACCCAGTGAGGTGGTGTATATGGCAAAGAGAAGAGGTCCTAGTACAGAGCCCTGGGGGAGTCCTGTGGCAAGATGGTGCATGGTAGAGGATTGTCCAAGCCAAGATACACTGAATGATCGTCCTGTGAGGTACGATTCAAACCAGGCATGTGCTTTCTCTGTGATGCCCATGCTAGAGAGTGTGGACAAAAGGAAGCCATGGTTGAGTGTCAAATGCTGCCGATAAGTTGAGCAGGATAAGCACTGAGGATTTGGCAGTCGCTCTAGCTTCTTTTAAGGATTCTGTCAGTGCTAACAGAGCAGTTTCAGTGGAGTGGCCCTTTTTGAACCCAGATTGGTAAGGGTCAAGCAGACAGTTTTGTGAGAGGTATTCTGTGATCTGCTTGAAAGCCACCCTTTCAATGATTTTGGACAGAAAAGGGAGGAGAGAGATAGGTCGGTAGTTCTCCACATGATTTGGAGGAAGGGATGGATTTTTTAGAGATGGCAACATGGTCCGTGGACGTGTAGGCCCGACCCGATCACCTTGTACCAGGCGTGAGGTTCTTTACAACTGGAAACTTCTTTCAGCCTCTTTCTTTGTTGGGGCTCAAAATGACCCAGGAGCCATGAAGAATGGCCAAACAGCCCCATAATAAAGCCCTACAATAAAAAGACCGGTTTGCCCCGCCCACTCAGCCAGGACATGAATATTAAATGTGCTGTGTGCTGATTGGCCGATTTACCCCAGCGGTTCCATGACTGCCTGAAGCTAGAAACTCTGTGTTAGCAATAGCTCATGCTAAGGCAGTGTTTCTCAATCATTTTCTGCCTTTATTCAAATTTAAACTATATAAACTGAAGCAATGACAATACCAATAGGGACAATAGGTAGTTTATTTATTCTAGGTGACTCGTGAGCATTTACCTAACGAGGATGCGTTTTAGAAGTTGCTGGTCTCCTACGGTGTAGCCGGGCCAGTCCTTCTGCAGATCCTTAAAAAGACCGTCCTTCAGGACAAACGTCCCGTCTCTGCCGCTGGGCTGGCCAACCTGCAGACAAACACACAGGTGTTCCTTTCATTAACTAGTAATTCACCCACCTATCCTAACGCCGTGCACAATGACTGCACACATTACCTCCTTCATTACAGAGTCCAACCCGTCTTTGTCTCCATCTGTCAGCCCGTCTCTCTGCAGCCTCAGCATCAGTTCGGGCCTCTTGTACGGCCTCAGAGCCAGCAGGTGCATGACTCTCTCCCCCAGGGGCTTCTCTTTCACATCTCCCACGCTCCTCCTGTTAGCCGGACACGGAGCCTTACTCTGCCGGGATGCGGCGGCGACTCCCTTCCTAATGTTGCTGAGGAGGGTGTGAGGCGTGTGTTTGGGCTTGGTCAACTTAGCCAGAGCGGGGGCTGGAGCTCGCACCGTCACCTTCTTACCTGTGAGGAAGGTGAAAAAATATAATAAACAGATAAATCCTTCCAATCCAAATGTGTTTGTGTAAACAAATATTATCTTAAGCTTCACAGGGCAACATCAGACACAGGCCTGCAGAGTTGTGGATAAAAAGAAAGCAGATCTTATTTCATCCTGTCATAAAGCCACAGCCAGGTCACACACACACGCACTAATGTAAAAAACAACCACATGGTTGCAAAAGCCAGTTATGATTATTTTTTAAACTTCCTGTGAACTGACAGATTCATCAAACACACACTTGGAAAGTGTCAGGAGCGCCTTTGTGTGCTGACGGTGACTAACATATCCGCTCAGGAGGAAGTGGTTCGGTGGTTGGCTTTGCAAAAACAGAACGGGCAAAAAAAAAAAAGAAAAAAATCCCTGGTTTTATTATATTAAGAATCACAAAATCAAAGCGACTGTGTGTGTAAAACATTTAGCAGCAGGTGTTGGACGTGTTCGTCCACGTATACCAGCTAGAGTCTTTTTACTACACCTGTTGCCAAAGCAACCAATGCATCATGGCTGACTGTGTCTCCTGGAGATTATAAGCACAGCGCTAAACTGTCTTACGGCCAGTACACACTCTTTACCCTGGTAGCGGGCTCCGTTTTTGATAACAATGGCCCCGCGGCTGCGAGTCTCTTCCTCAGCTTGAGCCAGGTTCTGACGAGCCTTATCGTACGAGTCATCGGTAGCGTTGACTGTTATCTTCTTCTGAATCACCCCGAGACATGACAACTCCTCGGCAGCTCTGAGGAGGAGGGGGAGAAGGCAGAAGCTTCAGAACAATCAGGAATCCTGCATCTTACCTTCATTCCTCATAATAAAAGATGGTTTTCAGTTCCTAAGCAGCATTAAAATCTAATCACGAATCTGAATAATTAAGACTTTTCCCAGCTTCTCGTGACCTGTGCAGCAATTAAAGCCAGATATAGATTAACATCAGGTAGATTTTCTCACAGCACCCCACTGGAGGCCTTTTAACGAACAGCTAATGAGCCATTTATTTGGCCACAAACACTTGTAGCAGCTTTATAACGTTTGTTGTCATTTAATGTTTTGTTGTCTTTTACCCCGTGCTGAGCTGTTTGACGCAGTCAAAGCTTCCATGAGGGTTGTCACGGGCGACATTAGCCACGCCAAAGGTGAAAATCCTCACTTCAACGCTATTATCTGAACAGGGGATGGAGATTCTCTGTAGGAAACAAAAATGGAGACTTACATCTGCTCAAATGTATAACATGTGTATGGATGAATAAATATACAGAGGGTTTCCCTTACCCCTTGATTTCCACTAAAGCTGATGATGGGATGAGTTGATCGTCCCTAGAGGAACAGAAATTATGCTAAATGAAGAAGTTTGCTGCATCTCACATTAAATGAATATTTGGGCCCTTTAAAGGTGTTTCTGTGTAAACGTTTTAATTATAATTGTTTTAATCCCTTCTAGAGAGTGTTTACATCCTTTATGAGCCAACAGCTGGTCTGAAATCAGCCAGGACCGAAGGCAGATTGCTGCCACTGGCCCAGTTTCTAAAAGGCCACCTTTGTTCTATAAGTTACGGTCATCTGTGATTATTTACAAACATCAATATCTCCATGATCAACAGCTACATGTCAAGCCCATCAGAAAATTATTAATTCAACAGATTTAAGAATTATAAAATCCTCTTTATAATTGGAGTTATTGGAATCTGATTAACCTGAGCGCGATCCCCTTTAAAGTGGGGTAGGAGATGTTTTTCTGGAGACAGTTTAGCTTGAAATGCTATTTACATTCTGATGGCAAACCTCATCCAATCATTGTGAACAAACCGTTCATAATGACCGGATCCTCCTGAGCCCTCCACGAAACGGCCCTCTGAACACGTACCCCTCACCGAGCATAAATCACGCATTCCGGGCTTGGAGCAGCTGAACAGGAAGGGAGGCCAGACATGGGTTAGCTATATTAGCTAGCATCCTGAACTGTTAGGAGGTTAGGTTGTCATGTACACACAACGTAGCCAACAGGTATCTGACAAAACAAAGATACTTTTCTCTGGTCTCGATGAGCGGAGGATATTCGGTTTTGCAAAAACCTGGCTAAATGTGTACATGGTCGCAGCCTGAGGTAAAGTAGCAGAGGCGGTTTCCAGTGCAGTAGGCCCAGTCCATCAAACTGGATCTCCAATCTAGGCCCCAATAAACAAACTCTGGAGGCCTCCTGACCTGCACGGGACTATGAGGAATTCATCAGAAGCCTGGAGGCTCTGTGACGGATATATTGGTGCATAACATTAGGAATCATGGCAGAAAAGGTGCCAACAAGTGAAACTGTTAGGATGACGTTATGTTTTTATGGTTGTTTGAGAGCATCCGTCGTGTCCAGCTCTATTTTGGAGGCGTGGCTTGGAGATGAAATCTGAAGAAAGGGGGTTGGACCTTGGAATTGTGTTTTCTCCCTCCAAAACGTAGCTTGCATGAATTTTCCATGATTATCTACCCAGCCAACCCTAAACCCAGGTATCAGAATTGCCAAGCTGTGATGTCTGTACACATTACGTTCCAATTCACCCTCCCAATAACAAATCTCCCATGTGGAAGGTTATACTTCTAGCACCAACATTTTTAGTTGTGGTTCATTGGGATGAAACTGAATCGACCAATCAGAGCTGTACAAAAATCTGGGACTAGTATTGGTCATCAAAACCAGAGCAGATCAAACCCGAAACCTGACAAACTTCACCATCAGTCCAGCTGGAGGCAGCATGATTACAGTCTGTTGGATCTGTCTGCAAAACCACCCCTCCTTTAATCCAGAACCAAGCGCAGAACACACACCCGGTTCTGATTATTACAACATGGTGGTCATAAAGACCCTCTAGTATCTCTGTAGGGCTAAAATCAGAAAGTCTTAGTAAAAATAAGAAGAAAACCTTTAATTAGCATATTTTTACATTATTAAACAGAGCTGTGGCTAAAGCAGACACAGCAGCTTAATAAAAGACCATGTCTCACAGGTGTGGATTAACCTGCAGGAAGATGAAAGGATGACTGACAAGACCTCGGCTGACCTTTCCACAGAGCCGATCTGTAAATCCACCTGTTGGTGAGTGCACAGGATGAGGCGTCTGCCAGCAGAGTCTGGAGCTGCTGCAACATGTGGAGGTGTTTTCTCTTCTTTTCCTGGACCTGAGCTCGGGCCAAGTGAGACGCGAATAGCTCCTCTTAAAGCTAAATAAAGAACCCCAGTGGTGTTGAGCCCTGCGCCTGGTGCTTTCCCCCCACTTCTCATCACAGCAGCTTCACACCAGCATGACCTCAGCAGTGTGGTTTCCACCTTTTATCAAACTGGAGTTTCCTACCATCATTACAAGGAATTACAGGAAATGACTGATCAGGCTTTCAGAAGAAGTAGGTTGGACTGTGATTAAGTTTGTTGGTGGTGGTGAATAGTAGAAAAGCTAACTGCATGTCCATCAAAGATCACACACACACACACACACACACACACACACACACACACACACACACACACACACACACACACACACACTATTCCTATTACTGACCAGCAGCTTGTTAGAAGCTTCAGATCACCGGGAAGCTACACGCCTTGTATTATGCAACATGTATCACCGCTTGGAGGTTCGGAGGAGACAACAACCGGCGGGGAAGCCACTGCTGCTGAACTTCGGCCGAAATTCAGCGCACTACCCAGCCGTTGGTGCTTTGTTTCAACGCTCCCTTGCTCCCTTCTTAAAGGAAGCGTCTTCCAGACAAAGAGCTCCAACAAATGACTTTTAGTTGACGAATTCACGTTAACAACAATGATAATCCTACCTTGCTGCTCAGGAAGGTACCAATAGCTCTTGCCGCGCTGTCAGTGAGTTTTACATGAAAAACGGAGACGTTGTTGCCGCTCGGGCTCAGTTTACCGCCAGACAGCCCGTAACACTGGTTCTCCTTCAGCGCCAACATCCCGCCGCTCAGGCTGGTTCCGAACCGGAGCAGTCCAAATGAAGGGAGCAAACATTGGCCAGAGGAAGGCGCTCCGCGGAGCCGTGTAGCTGCTCCTCCGCCGCTGCGCGCTATTCTGGAGTACCGAACATTACGTCACGGCGGGTGAAACAAGGGCGGATTTGATTGGTCCTGGGACACGATTTTTCGCCTACGTACAGCTTACGTAACTGTTGGTTTCCCCGGTTATGGCAGGCCATTGTAAGATATAATGAAACCACGCATTGAGTTTGTTCATGAAATGAAAACCAGAACAAGTTAGTGAGCAACAATATGATGTTAGTACATCGATTTTCATACAATACATTCAGTTTCTGTCAGTTTATTTATATAGCGCTAAATCACGACAAGAGCCACCTCAAGGCACTTCACACAGTAAACATTAACGCAATCAAGTCAATCAGATCTGTAAAAGGGTTCTCATTTAAGGAACCCAGCAGCTTGCATCGAGTCACTATTTAGTGTCAGTGTCTTCACAGCAAACCCCGTACTAAGCAAGCATGTAGTGACAGTGGAGAGGAAAGTTCCCTTTTAACAGAAAGAAACCAGAAGATTCTGGCCTCATCACCACTCACTGAAAGGACAGAACAGAGACCCCCCCCCCACACACACACACACACACACCATATATACCAAGTATTATTTCTGCTGCTACATTGTGATTTCTTAGTAAATATTCTATTTAATAAGAGATAAACTTTATTATCTTTAAGTTAGTGAATCTATAATTAATTCAACAGGTAAACTTAAACTTTATTATCTTTAAGTTAGTGAATCTATAATTAATTCAACAGGTAAACTAGTAGTAGCACATTCTATGATTAAAGTAAAATGTTTTTATCAGGAGAGGGAGAACGGTAAGTAGTTAGCAGCAGTGTCACAGCTGATGGCCCCCTCCACAAGGCCACCACAGCTCAGCAGAACACCATTGTAGCTTCTTCTGAGGAGAAAAACACTTAGAGAGAAAATAAAGTTAACAGCAGAAATAACAGAAAATAATGCAATTAGGGAGTAGTGGTAGAAGAAAGTAGCAGTGTGGAAAGTGGTCAGTGTGTCCTCCAGCAGTCTAAGCCGCATAACTACAATAATGTTTACCAAAATGTTTTTTTACAACATAGGCTACTTAAATAAAATCGAACAAAAGAGTTAAAACAGATTTGCATGAAGGTGCTGTATATGCCATATTTTAACCACAGACATGCCAGTGGACGTTCCCACTGACACTTTATAATTATACAACAGGAACTTGACAACTTGTGGCCTGGATGATTGGCTGTCCATTAAATTTATTTATTTATTTAATATTACAATAATCTCCCAGTAAATCTCTTATAATAAATGATAAATGACCTGCAATTGTATCGTGCCTATCAAAGTCAAGACTCCACTGTGCTTGTTTACACTACAGAGTATCATTCATCCATTCACACACACATTCACACGCTGGCGGTGCGCACTGACAGAGGCAAGACTTTCGAGCACAGGCACCACCAATCCCTCTGACCAGCACCAGTAGGCAGGGAGGGTTTAACCCAATTTTCTCAAAAATGTTTATTATCACCTAATCTTTACCAGAACTGTCACAATGTGTTTTGAGCAGCTGTAAATTTTTGTTTAACCTGACATGTTCAAATTCAAAAATTCTTTAAGAATCAGATGGAAAATTAAGTGTTACTGCAACTCATTCTTCAAAGCAATAACAAAAACAATCAAATGATTTATTAATTCTGGCAGCTGGAGCAGACAGAGTAGTTAGTCTGGGTGACGTACCATGACAGAGTACTTTTACTCTACAATGGGAAGGATGTGAGATGCTTCTCCTGTTGCGCTGTTGACTGCATTAAGTTTGTGGCATGCTAGACCACATCTGCTTAGGCAACAGAATGGACAGCCAGGGTGGAAGTAGGCCAACAACAAACAGGGAAAGAGACAATTGGGGGGGGGGGGCGGCACACACACACACACACAAAGGGGACTTACCCGGGCCCCAAAAGACACACACCAACGCTAGTGAGGGGCTACCAGGCGCAGAAGAATCAAGCCAACCCAGCACAGTAATTTGATTTAAGTTATCTCGAATTTGAATGACTGGCATTTCAGTTTCACACGCACAATGTTTCTTTTGGACAAGAAGAATACATGAATAAACGGATGAATGAGGCTTTTGAACAAAAAAGATGACATCGATTGAGATGGGATGTCTAAAATGTTGATTGATGAAGAGAGAATCAAAATTCTAGTTAGCTGAGCTGTTTTTCACAACAAACATCTGATGGGTAAATCAAAACGAGCAAATGGGAAAACTGACTTGACACAACTTTCCTACCCAGAATTATTTTATACGAGGTTGAACCAAATATTCTCTATTATCCAACACAAAGCACTTGCCTTATTGCCTTGATAATTTATTTTTGGATCATTTCCATACACTGATGCACAAGTTACTCTAGGAAACAGAAAACCATTCAGATGCAACGTTTTGTCTGTGAGAGCTTAAAGATTCCCTCTGGCTACGGCTCTAATAAGGGATGTGTTTAAATTCAAATCCACAAACCTGATACACAAGCTCATTTACTCCTGTTTTGATTTAATTCTATGTCCCACAGTGTAATTATGATTTCCCCTAACTCTCTGTGTTTTATTTTTCACCTCCTTACCTCTTGTGTCATCATGAGAAGTCACACTTCTGTTTGAGTGGGCTTGACAGATCTGGTTTTACTGCCTCATAGGTTTATTGACCTGAGGTACAGCCATGCAGAACAAGAGATTTGTAACTGTAAATATTTATTTTTTAACATCTAGTCAATTATTTTATATGACTTAGAAAATGTGTCGAGTTTCAAATAGGCGTCAATTTTAAAAAGGACACTGATTTAATTTTTTGTTTGGTCTGCAGTATGTAGATGTGAACACGGTGTGTGTGTGTGTGTGTGTGTGTGTGTGTGTGTGTGTGTGTGTGTGTGTGTGTGTGTGTGTGTGTGTGTGTGTGTGGCTGTGCATGAGCAATATTCCCACTACAAGTAGGAGTTTACATAACATTATTTGTACTATGGAGGAAGCTCCAGTCTGATCAGGCTTTGCCAACATTCATTTTTTAACCTTTATTCTATTTCCAATAAGACATATAGTGTTCTGTTATAACTGGATGAAACATTTTACTGCTAAACACCGTCCCTACCACACATGCGCATAAAGTGCAACCTGATTTACATTTATTTACGTGCATCATAAAAGAAAATCCTGTCCATCTAAAGCTAATTAGATAGAAATTTTAAGCCAGATTTTGTTTTTAAAGCTGAGTTATAAGAAAATTAATGTCACAAGTGAGTGTTGACAAAATCAACATGCTGGTTGTCTTCTAATGCAACGCCATGACCTCCAACAGCTTTTATGTTTGCATAAACAAACCCGGATCAGGTTCATGACCCTAGGTGTGGTTGGCACATCACCAAATGAACTTCAGGTGTTCAGAGAGACCCGACACTCAGCGTTCCCAGTCCCAGAACCATGGCTGATTTTCCAACCGTAACCTGGGAATCTTCAAATGTCCCTCTCCTATTACTCTGAAGCAACCAAACCTGTACAGAGTGCAGCAGCTTCAATGCTTCTCCAAAACATTTATTCAATAATAAAAACTTTCATATAATAAATTATGAAATCTCATAATTCTCTAAAGTTGTTATTTTCTGGAAGATGGAATATTTAAAAAAAAGTAATTGACTGTTTCTTTGCACAACCTGCAAACATTTAACCCTCCCACTGTCTTATGGGTGACCCCTTGAGGAAAGTTGACCATTGAGCAGGATTGATGGTTTATCCTTTGAGGTCCACGTGGCAGGGGTGAGGTGGCGCCCACTCCTCACCCCTGCCACATAGACCCAAGGGATAAACCATCAACCCTGCTCAATGGTCAACTTTCCTCGCAAGGTCACACCCGTTAGGACAGTGGGAGGGTTAAAGAACATTTTTTTCCACTTTTTCATCCCTTCTTCCCTCAGTTTTGTATTTAACTGGTTATGCATATCCCTTACTTTTATTCTAACGTCAATAATGTGTCACCAGAGGCAAGAGATACAAGAAGATTCCTGTTTTTATAGAACAGAATAAAAATAACATAATCCAACAGACGATTTCTTTAGGAGATGTGCCACTGCAGACATCAGAATACCATCTGCATGAAAAAAAATCTGTGGAAGACGTGTCATTAAAGCTTAGTTTTCCACCACAAACATAGATGCGAGTAAAAACTGGTGTTTTTGTAAGTTATTCTTTGGAGCCCTTGGACATAGCTCTAAATCTTTGTTCTTGAAAGTCAATAATTCACAAACGCAAGTCTGGTTCTGCTTCCAGCAGCCCACCTGAATGGTGGAAGATGTTAAATCTGGCTTGTAGAGCTCATTGACGGGGGATCTTAGCTAACATTGCTGTAAGTGTGCCCCTCTGATGTTTGATGACTGCCTACATTCATGGCTCAGGACACATTCGTTGCAACAGAAATAATAAAAGAAGCGGCTGTGAGGTTGTTTTCTTGGTGTTTGTGTCTCTCTGCTCCGTTTGAACCCAGACGGTGGTCGCAGTGCAATTCAAAGCTGACTCTTATCAATGGCCCTCTGGCTCTTTGTGAAGCAGCAACAGGTGACATTTCAGGCTGAAAATCAATTCTGACTTTGAACAACCCCCCCACTCACCATCTCTCTGCAGGAGCCGTCAGCAGGAGAGGGCGGTTGAGGACAGACGAAGCTCCAGTGACATAACAATGCAGAAGTGCAACACCTGCAGCAACTCAAGGTCGGTATTTAATTATGTCGTACCTGATTACATTTGTAGTGAATAACAAATGAGTAGATCTATTTCTGTTTCCAGGAGGAAATGGAGGACCCTCTGAGAGACTGCAGCCCCCTGATCAGTGCAGCCTCCTGTGGGAAGCTTCGTCTGGTCCGCCTGCTGGTGGATGGTGGAGCTCAGGTGAACGGGAGTAACTCCAGAGGAGCTCTTCTGGCTGCCTGCAAGGCCCTGAGAGGTGAGGCTGCTGGGTCTGAGCCTCTCAAACTTCTTAGGTACCTGCTTCAGAACAAGGTCTGTCTGCAGCATGAAGGAGATTCAAGATTTGGACTTGCCTTTTTTTTAAACAAGATGCTTCGTCTAAATCAGGCAGACCCTAATGCACGAGCTGCTCTGATGCACGCCTGCACGGAGCGAGCAGGAGTTCATGTGGCACAGAGCCTCCTGGCTGCAGGAGCAGATCCCTGCATGGAGGACGTCTCTGGAGCTTCAGCTTTGGTCTACGCCATCAACGCTCAGCACCAGCCCACAGTGCAGGTGAGTGAAAGCCTCATCCAGGAAAGCTAAGAGTTTGGAGTATTTATCAAAGGTCACCTCAGGTGCTGATGGATGCCTGCCAAGCCAGGGGTTGGGATACCATCGTCATCACCATGGAGATGGGTACAAATGGACATCCAGTGATCAGGCGTTACCTAGAGGTCTCCCCTTCTCCAGATTCCTTTGCAATGTCCTACATGTCCCCATCAGACATTGTCTTGAAGACGGGCTCACCAAACTCATCAGAGGAAGAAAACATCTTCAGCTTTAGAGGAACCAGTGAGTCTGACAGGTCTAGGAGCCAGATCAACCAGATTTATGGCACACCATAGGACCTGAATTGGTCTTTGTGTCATTTTGTCCTTTATATCCATCTCCTTCACTTCCTGCAGGCAGACACGGAAGTGGCAACAGCAGCAGACGTTCCTCCTGTGAGCTGACTTCATCCAGTCCAAGAGAATCTCTGAACGCTAGACCTAGGATTTTATCTGAACCTTGGCTAGCCATCCAAAACCTGGCTTCCCTGAACAGCGCATACGAGGAAAGAGTGAGGGGCAGGAGCCAGAGAGGAGGGAGATGGCCGGGAATTGATGATGGAAGGAGGAAGTGTGTCATGGAGGAAAGAGGACAGCTGCAGCGAGCTTTGGTCTCTGGGAGATTCTCTTTCAGTCCTCTCACTAAGACATCATGGTGTCCAACACCAGGACCTGATGAGAAGCTCCCATCCTGGTCCTCCTCTTCCTCACAGCCCCGCAGGAACACCCTCCCTACCCTGACGGTGGTCCCCCCTCTTCTTCACCTCCCTCCTTTAATGAATCAGTCAATCAGAATCTCACCTGCAGGTGTCAGACCACGCTTCATCTTCCAAACGTAGAACCCACCTGCATCACTCCCACCTCTCTCCTCCTCTGCCTCCTCCTTGGTTGCTCCTCCTACCTGCTGTTACAGCGAGAAGGGCAGGAAGTCCATGCGTCGTCACTCAGCACAGCTCGAACGTCTTAGAGGAGCACATTTAGACCTCTGAGGCCCAAGAGCTGCAGTTTGGTTCCTCAGCCTGTTTCTGGATGAACATCTGTTTTTCCTCGGTCATGCTTTCCTTCTTCATATTCAAATTTGTGTCAAATGAATTCAGTCAAGCAGGAATCAGCATAAATTAAATAAATTCTCTTCACCATAGTTTAATTTTAGGTGCTTTGAAGTAATAATGAAAAATAATTGAGACAGTTTGTAAATTTGGTGTTTTTCTCAAATTTCAATTAAAAAAATACAACAAAAAACTGTTATTTAATTCCCACCAAGATAATTTATTTTCATGTATGGGATGCAAAATTGGTCATGTCTTTATCCATATTAGGTTAATAATAGCAATAATAATAAAAAGGTGGCGCCATGTTTAGACATTTCACATTTTTCACGTTATCTTCCATCCACACTCCACTGAGGAATAATTTAAGAAATAGTAAAAAATTAAATTAAATAAAAACAACTATGAAAAAAACGACACACGAAAAAGGTTAAAGGTGAAATTAAAAGTTGAAAAAGCTAAAAACAAAAAATAAATCCCCTTTCAAACAATTTGAATAATTTTGGGGTAATTTGTTATGTTATTGTAGATATTAATATTAATAATAATGTGACTTTATGGTTTCAGAGCACTCTTCAGAGGCTGGACTGTGCTCAAAAGGTCAACCAGAACATCAACATGAGATGAAACCTTAATAATAATGTCTAAAACAGCTCGTATCATGGCAAAAGGAGTGAAGTCATTTTATTTGTTTTTAATATGTATCTACAACAAGGGGGACACAGGCAAAAAACGACTGACAAGTTGATGAAAATTAAAACAAAATAAAATACATTAATTACCAATGCAGATTTCCCACCTTTTCCCCGATAAGCAACTTTTTTTTTGTCCAAAGCAACTTTACAATATAAAGAAACGTACGAAGGAACCTTTTATTTTACTACACAAGACATTTAGGATCTGAAACTACCCTAACATGATAAAAAGCAACTTCCCAGGGACAGACTGCCTCAAATCCAATACTGCTTTGTCATCAAGGGGAAAACTGAGGACTGAACAGAAAAATCTTTGCTCTCCATCTCCTCTAAAGTCCTCTCTGTACCCCCCCCAACCCCGTTTAATGTTACAGTATTATACATCAGCACGATAGAAATACAGAAATGATCAACATGGTGACGGCGTTACTTACAGGACAGAAAGAGAAAAGTTGGACTGCATTTTATACAAGATTTCAAATAACACAGGAAATGCATGTTCCTGAACTCTCTCTCTCTCCGTCATCCCAGTAACACGTGTTTTTACTCTCACACACATTCCTCCTGCCTCCTTTAAATAGATTTTAAAAGTCCTTCACAATAAGTTTGTACTCTGGTTCCTGGTTTGAGCCAAACAGAAAACAAACAAACAAAAAAAAAGCCATTTCTGACAAAAATTGTAAAAATATTTCCACTTTTTTTAAAATTTCATTTCCCACCTCAAACTCATTTCAAGAATAGAGGCATAATCGGGTTGAATGTGAGTTTTTAACAAAACAAAACTCCTGCGAATGATTTCTGCCTTCGTCCTGCTGGACCTGCGTGGCGGCGCAGAGGCCTAACGCCCGCTCGCCCGCCCATCATGAGGTGAAAAAGCATCATAGTCTGTAGCAGCTCCGGTTTCAGCTCCTCATATTAACTCTGAGCAAAAAGACACGTCATATCTCTGAACAAATACACACAAGTCACCTGAATCAGCATGTCACCGATCAGCTGCTAAATTGTGATCTGAAATATCAAAACATGTCAATGATATCAAAATGCATTTTACAGTATTTACAAAACAAAATTAAAAGATGGAGAGCTGTAGTTATAAAAAGAAAGAAATCTCAGAGGGAGGGAGGGGGGTGATGTGGGGATCCTGATGGGAAGGTGAGGAAAAACAGGGAGGAGGAGTCGGGAACGCCACTCGTTCCAGTCAAGAGCAAATCCTTTTTCCTGCTTCCTAACCCTGAAAACTCATCAGCAGAAATCCTTTTCATGTGTAAGTAAACAACATGTGTGTGTGTGTGTGTGTGTGTGTGGGGAGGTTAAACATGTTCACACAGCTGCTACTAGTCCAGCTGCTTTCATTAAAATCATCATTAAAAAAAATCAAAAGTCCATAAATAAATAGAGCGGTGCATTTCACTGCAGAGAGCCGGTTCTGCTTCCTAATCAGTACCATGGAGGACACACTCCTACCAGCAGGGGGCAGTGTGCTAACACAAAGCCTTTACATCACACAGCAAATGAGTTCTGACTGAGAATAATGTGCCCGTAGAAACGAAACAAAGCAAATCAGAACCTAGTCTTAACATGATCATAGCAATAGCGTTAATAATAATAATACAATAATAAAAACAACAATAATATAATACATACACAGACAAAAATGAAATAAACATGTTGGACGATAATCACAACACCTGTGTTACAAATGTGCACGCATGTAGAACAGTGTGGGGGGGCGACGGGGTCGTTTCATCTACATTTGTTCGGAAAGCAGCGACGAAAAGATGATCTCAGAGAGTTTGGGTTGATAAGTTTCCACTGAGTCCGTGAGGAAGGGCTGCGTCTCCCTCTGCTCGTCCTCCATCCCTCGTTCATTGTCTGGATCCCGACAGGAAGCCGGGTAGGCTGGAGGCAGAGAGGAGGCTCTTCCTGTTGCTCTGTGACTGCTTCCTGTTCACACCCACAGCCATCTTGCACGAAGCGGGAGGCCCCGACTTAATTAGAGTCCCAGCATGCTCTAGGGCCGTCCCGGAGGGCTGCGTGGTCGTAGAGGAGAAAGGGTGGCGGGGTTGGGTGGAAGAGGGTGGGTCCCATCAGGAGTTTGTGTGTGGTGTGTGTGTGTGTGTGTGTGTGTGTGGTTACGGGGGCGGTCCGATCCAAGGTGGGATAAGGATGGAATTGAAGAAGTAAATCAACAAAATTTAAAAAATAAAAATCAGGCGGAGGGTCACAAAAATTAAGGGAGGGGAGAGTAAAAAAAAGGGGGGGGAAATAAAATCACACACTCATCGTCATGTTGGGTGAATACTGAAAAGAGAAAGAGGGGAGGGGGGGAGGGGGGGGGCAGAGATGAGTGGATATGTCACTGACAACATTTAAACACAAGATGGCGATCAAACCCAGGTCCACAACAGAGCTGCAGAGAGCACAGGCTCAGGCAACCAGTGTCTGTCAAACTTTCATGAAAGTCTGATGGAAACGTAGATCTGGAGTCACGGAGCATACCAGAGGTCAAGCTGCTCCAACATCCTGATTGGTTGAATCCAGTAAAGTGAGGGCAGCTTGTGACCTCCTGGCTCTCCAGGACCTGGGTCAAAGTCCATCACAGATTTACACAGATTCCACCGGTTCGACACCAGTCTTTTATTGTGTTTTTAATCTGAAATCCACAGATACGACAACGCTCATAAGGCTTTTTGATTCCATCAGCTGTGATCACAGAATGAGTTTCTAAGTGATTAGTTAGAGCGGCTACAATGCAAGCAGAACATCTTCACTGTGGTTTTAGTTCTCTGATTTTAGAAGAAACCTTTCGTGGGCAACAAAAATCCTCACTTTATTTAGTTTCACAGCGCTGTCCCAGACTAAAAAACCTCAACAGGGTAAAGGGATGCAAATCTGGGTGGAATTATAAACTTGTCTCATCTAATTCACACTCATCTGCAGATGATTCGGGTTTAGAGAGCCAATACCAAGTCCAGGTCCTTGTACAGATGTATTTCAAAGAGCAATAATTAACAGATTTTTTTTAATGACCTGAAAAACTTGACTAAGTCAGATTTTCTACATGAACCATCTGTCACTGCTAATGTGAATTGGCACTTAGGACACTGGAGAGAATGGTGGATTTTCTATTGCTCTTTGGTAATGGTGCGTTTATTTGGTAGTTTGACTGGTCGACTACAGATTAATTCAATCATATTGAAATACGGACCAATTCCGGTCACTCAGCCAATATTCATCATGCTGAGTTTAATACGAAATCACCACAGCTAAGGGCTAATTTATGCTAGCAAAAACAGATCCTCAGAACATTTCTACTTTCAGAATTAAAACGTTCAAATTTAGCTATAATTCTATGCGATGAACCAGAATAGGTGAAAACTGGTATCAGAAGGTCATAGCTGTACAAATGCCAGAAACTGGTATCGATCCTCCAAACCAGAATCGGTGCGAGTGATAAAAACTGTAATTAAATATTTCCCCCTGATTGAACTGAAGATGCTTCTTAGTTCGTGTTCTCTTCTCACCACTCAGATACACCAATCTGCAACAAATCCTTTATCATTCTATTTGTTTTAGGACTGAGTTTTGTTTTTCCATTTATTTATATATTATTGGTAAACTAGCACAACAAAAAATTCTGATTAATGACAAAAGAGACAGAATGCACCTTCTTTTTCAGAATGTTAATTTAACGTTTTAGATGAAAAAGCCCTCCTCTGCTTGCATTCTTCCACTAGTGTATGCCAGGACAGCAAGGAGAACCGTTAAGGGTTGTGAGATGTCGTCAAAACACTCTACTCTACTCACACTTTCACTTTGGAATGGGTTCAAGAAGTTGCCGCCCATTTCGCCTTCGTCCCGCGGCGTCCCAGGGGGATTGTTCATGCCTCCCATGTTGTTAGGAGAGCTCTGGTGGGAGAAACAAACTGACGGATGACCCTTTATCCACGTCACACTTAGGGAAGAGGATCTAAATAATACTTTTAACCAGAGAGAAGAATGGATGTTTGTAGAATCCTAAATGTTGACTCACCTTTGGCAACCCATCCATGTCCCCGGAGCCTGAGGAGGAAAACGTTTAAGTTACATCTAATCCAAAGTCGCCACAGCTGAGTGATCTACTGTGTTTAAACTCGCCTAGTGATCCGTTCATGTGGTGCGGTTCCATGGCTCCCATAGCCCCCATAGGTCCGTCGGGCCCTGGTCCCATAGGGAACTGGAGACAGGATGTGGGACAGGCTTTAGGGACTCAGAGGTATAATCATTATACTTTCAGTCCTCGCAGTCAATGCTATGAAAAAGTATTTGCCTTGATTTTTTTTGTTGTCACACTTATAAAACTTTAAAGCCTGTTGGATAATAAATCGTTTGTGCAGCCATTTTATAAATAATTTAACATGAGGTAAATCTGGGGGAAAAAAAACAGCTACGAGATGCACATTTTTTCAAAACAGGGAGAGGGCAGTTCTTTCCTGAAATCCAGAAACATCGTCCGCCACACCTTTAAAGATATAACTTCTAGGTCGCTCCTGGTACTGACTTCCATTATTCCCAAAATGCTGCAGCTCTTTGCCGGACAGTGTCGAATTACAAATGCCGGCAGACTTGGCAACCCAGTGGGCTAAACTATGATTGGGTCTGCAACCAGGAAGTATGGAGTTGGGACAGATTGTAAACAATCACTTTGTCCCTTTTTGGCCTTCATAAAAGAAGAGAAACTGACAACTCCCCAGTAAGGCAGAGAAGGAAATCTGTTTCATTGTAACCTTCCTTCCAACATGACTGAGATATTAGACTATTTTGTGATAATTTCCCTGGATAATTTTTACTTATTGCACCTTTAAACATGTTTATTAAAACATGAAAACTCACGTTGGGTCTGTTGCCTCCCGGTCCAATGGGATTCATCATGGTGTAAATGTTTTCACTGGAGTTAGTTGAATCTAAAGAAAATGCAAGAAAATCAGCAACAAGAAACTGGATAAGCGATGTTTTATTTATAAACATGATGACAGATGGGACACTAAAGGGACACATTCAAGTTTGTTTAGTGGGGGATAAAACATAAAAACGGAGACAAGAGTTAGTGCTGGGGACATAGTTAAGTGACGCACCACCTGGGCTGGGCATGATGGGGGTTCCAGGTGGGCCTCCTCCACCAGGGGGACCCTGGGAAACAATCAGAGGACGGATTTAAATAGCCAATTTAGCTCATCTTGTAGAGCAAAATTATCCCATAAACCTGAACTCACCACATAGTTTCCTGGAGATGAGGAGGAGTAGGCTATCTGCAGGAGGAGGAAGGAGCAAACAGGGTCACGCCATGCAGTGATGACATGATCTAAAGCCTCATAAACTCATAAACACATTCATCATGTGTTCGTAAAAAGCTTTGTGACTCACAGAGTTAGCGTTAGGTCCTGGCCAAGGCCCCCTTCCTCCGGGACCCCTGAGAAAAAAAAAGACAGTGACAGAGAAGGACGTAAAAATTAAGAGGAAAGAGAATGAAAAGTATGATGATGAGAATGATTAACGGCAACACAGGTGAGACGTTAAATGTAACAGCACTTTACTGCACTTACATGTTCATTCCTGGCATGGGACCACCCATGGAGTTTGGAGGAGGCCTCATGCCGCCATAATTCTGAAAGTAAAGAGACACAAAACACGTGGCTGGCAGCACGCAATCTCAGGAGAGTCAGATTTAACTTACTTAGCTCTGCACACAAATGTTTTGTGTGCAGAGCTAAGCTTTAAGCATAGGTTCTACCTGTGGGCCCATGGCCATTCCTCTGGGAGGATTCATTCTCATTGGTCCGCCCATATTAGGATGTCCTGCAAGAACAGAGGGCTCGTTTACATCCACCTATGTCAGGAATTAAAGACGTGCCATAGACAACTCTTCATCCTAATCTCATTAGCTGTAACCTTTAAGACTCCTGTAGCTGTAATCTCAGGATGAAATCACCACAGACCCATTTTCTTGAACCAGATACCAAATATTTAGTCCACATATCGGTGGAAGGCTGGTCATTCTTACGAGCACTACCTTGTGGTCTTGTTGGGTCCAAACTGTTTGGCAGGAGAGGTTGAGATCCTGGAATTCCGCCAGGAGGCTGGGAAGAGACAAAAACATGGAAACTCAAACAAAAGAAGGACTCGTGACTGGCAGCACGTGGTCTCAGGAGTGTCGGATTTAACTTACTGTCAACAACAACAACAACAAAACGATTACCTGATTTGGCATTCGGAGTGCGGGGCGGGGTCCACCTGGATACCGCGGTGACATGAAAGGCTGCAGAGGAAACAAATGAAGGAAAGAGAGAGAAAACGGGTGGGGGACAGAGACAAGTCTATTATCGATCAAACCAGAAGCTGAAAGACAGAGAGGACACGTGGATGGACACAGTGTGGTTGGAGGATGGACGATGGTGCTAAACATCAGCCAGAAAGAAAAGGACAAACATAAGCAACCCTTTTAGTCTGAAAAGATGTCCTCAAAGCATGTATTCATCTGAGCGTGTGTGTGTGTGTGTGTGTGTCCAGGCGGCGCTCACACAGCCGGCCTGCTCTCGCTGTGGTGTAAGCTGATTCGGCCTGTGGTCTGCCTGGCTTAGTCTGAGACACCTCAGGCCAACAACACGGTTCAAAGCCTTAGCGGAAGCATGTCCACACTCTCGCACACAAGAAAGAAACTCGAAACCACAAGAATGAAGAGCTGAGCTGCCGCAGTTAATGGGCGAAGCCTCGCTTTACCTCCATGGTGGCATCTGTAGCTACTGCTCTGGAAACACCAGGACTGAGGACTGAACTTTTTGGACATTTGAAACTTTTGTCATTTATCTTTAAAATAAAAAGAAACGGATGTTGTTTATTTAGCTTGATCCCTCTTTTATTTATGAGATGCAAGAACAAGTAAGCAAGGGGGAGGAGTGAGGTGTGTGTGTGTGTGTTAGGACTGGAGGAGAAGTGTGCAACCCCCCACGAGCTGCTCTGGGGGAGGGGCAGGGAGTGAATTATTCATCCAGCACGGGGGACAGCCGGTTTGGGGCTCGGAGAGGAGCGGGCGCCGATGCCTCTGGATCTTCTGCTCTCGTAAAAGGAGTTCCCAAAGCCTCATGGGTAAGGAGGACAGTGGGTGAGGGCGTGAATGTGGGTGAGGGTGAGGGAAGAAACAGAGGTAGTGTTTGAGAGAAACATCTTACCTGGCCGTGGGGTCCCATCATGGGGTTGCTGGGGTTGTGTGGGGGGGGTTGTGCATGTGGGGACTGCTGAGAGCCGGGTGGTCCCTTTAAGAAAGAAGAGTGACATCAGAGAGGGGAGGGGGGGGCAAAAATGTGGGTTCACACCTGGAGGAATAACCCAATCAGTCAGAAGAGATAGGAAGACGATGCTGGGGGGAGTCTGAAGGGTGGGGGTAGTCTGAGGAGGAACATGTGACATAGGAAAGTGGAAGAAGCAGCACATCTGGGGCAAATTCGTTCCTAAAATACAATAACTGACCCTATAGGAGGAGTTTACGACCCCCTGGAGCCCGACTCTAACAACACGGCTGCACCATGAGAGGTGATCAGCTCTGAGTGGGAACCACACGAGGGCAGTGTTATCAAACAGGACAGGAACTGGTGACAACTTCACACCAGAACAAAAACAAGTCAAAGTTAGACGCTTTCCTGCTGATTGGAAACTTTCTTCATAACAAACTCAGGTTCCTGTGGCCAAATTCTCCAAAAACAACGCTGACTTTTCACCCAAAGAGCAGGAATTAAAAGTCATTACACAACACCTCCAGCGTTTTACTTTCATCTCCCCTTCCCAGTTCCCCAGCGGAAACAAAGAGAGGCTGACTTACAAACAGCAGATGGAATTTTCCACCTATACCTCCTAGGCGTCGGAACACACTCAGACACAAACGCCCGCTTTAGCTTGTGAAGACACAAGGCTGTCTCCGACTAACGTGTCTGTTAGAGAGGAGATCCATAGTTCCCAAAGATCCGCATCTTCAAACTGCACCCAGTACTGCTCGTTCTGTGAGCGGACGCATCGGATCCCGGGCCTTGTTAGGTAATGTGGCAATGTGTGAGGGGTGTGAGTCAATTAACTGACAGAAAATAAAGCTATTACTTCAGATAACTGATTAATCATTAAAATCACTTCTTCAGAGGAAAAGCCAATTTCAATTACAGCCTTGGATTCAGACTAGTGATACAGCGATGATCAGCTGTAAAATGACCGGGTTTGGATGGTCTAACACCATCCAGGTTTATGCCAGAACCCTGCGGTTCCAGCAGGACATCATATTAGAGCAAAACGATCACATTTAGTCCCCTCAAATGTAATTCTTCATACCTATCAGCGTCAGTCTCTTGAAATTTATATGGAAAACATAATTGTAATGAATAAGTTTGCACCTTTTTCCCTCACCTTTAGGGTATTTGAATTCAAGCTATTCTGCTTCTTATATTTGTTTTTTAATTTTCTGTTATTTGCATTATTAGGATAATTTGTTGTTTACAATACTAAGAAATAAATGTGCATTTTCAGAATACTAACACAAATAAATGTATTCCCACTAATTATTGAGCTTCGTTGATGTGATAACTTGTTATATTTAAACACATTTGGTTCATTTAGTATAACATATTAAAATATGCAACAACAGTATTATTCAAATTGCTTCGTTGATGATACGTTTCCCTTAAAAGCAGCTTCAGCGAACTTCCAGAACAAGCTAGATTTTGAACGCAAACACGGTCACAAAACACTCACCACTCCCCTCGCGTATTTTCCCTGAGATGCCGGAACCAGACACCCACATTTGAAGAGGAAACAAGATAGCGCTAAACACCAGTCGCTGTTTTCTAGGTCCAAACATCTTTTCTTGTCCTTGACTTCAAATGGCGCTATTGGGACTCTGTTAGTTTGTCCTAGAGTTGAAGAGGGAGCAGCCGGCTGTTTCCCCTTCTCTGGTGTTATTGAGCGGACAACCTCTCTGTTGCTAAATACCGACTTGACCTGAATGTTGGACGACCCCGAGACTAATCTTCAGGAAAAGACAAAAAAATCACTTTTTAAATAAACTGTTTGTAACGTACCAAAGGACAAATTTCCATCAACATGACTGGAAAAGTAACCTTTAACTTGCAGACACAAAAACCCAACTGTCTGGCCTCCAAAACAGAGTGCTCTGAGCTTGAAAATTTGAGAAACAAATACTGAGCAAAAATAATGTTTTAATGCAGACTATCAGTACTTTGCTGACACGTGAAATCAAAAATCAAACCAGGCTTTTATTCAGACGCCCTCTGCCTCGCTGTACTCACTCAGTCATGCTGCTGCGGTCCTGATGTACCATCAGACCACTACACCTGCTGACTCCTCCCAGAACGTCATCCTCACTGCCATCCAACATATCCATGCATGCAATGTTTGACGCCTCTGCTGAATTTAACCACCGTCATCTCAACATTTGCACCACTCTGCCTTAGTATGTTAACTTGCCCCACTTTCAGTCCACTCTGCTTCAGACCACTCATCTCCATTTTTTTCTCCATCTGAGAACACAGAGCCTGGCGCCCTCTGCTGTTACGGGAGTGTAATGGTTAGACCCCGATTATAAGACGACCCCACATTTAAAAATTATTTTCAATGAAAAAAACGTCATCTTATATTCGGGTCAGTACGGTACGTCAGTGTAATGAATGGAGCACCCAGGGAAGTGTGGACGTGCCACGGTTTGGCGAGACCAACAATTGGATGGTCCAATGGATGGTCCAATGGTTGCTTTTAGTCTAAAAAGTGTAATTAGCAGACATTTTTAGACAAATGCATAAGAAGTACTTTATTAATTTTTTATTTTATTTTAATCTCCTATATATATATATATATATATATATATATATATATATATACACACACACACACACACACACACACACACACACATACATATACATACATGTAGCTATACTATGTTAGAATGTTAAGAGGAAGGATAAAACGTTTTAACCTAATTTGTTTTCCAAATTTCCCATTGTAGCATTAAAGTGACGATGTGTAGTTTTTATCATTAATCTCTGGAAATATCCATAGAAGTGTTGTTGTAAAAGAACAAAAAGATGTCCAGTTGACAAAAAATATTGGCGGGTTTATAACATATAACCATAAAAATCTGTTCTAAAATACATGGGAGTGGGTCTAAGTCTCTGGGCGACGCCACTTTAGATGCCATGTTTCCTTCTATGGAAGCCTGTGAGGACAAAACGCATTTACTGATTTGTAACAAATGGTTACAAAACTCACCATTAATAAATGTTGTTGTTTTACACATTTACCTCTTCACTTGTTGCCAGTGATGAAAGAGAATCTGATGTTCTTGTTATTTTGCTGGAGGTCGTGCTCTCGGGGCTTTTTGACCCTAATGGCCATCCGTTGGTAAGGTCTTACTTGAACACAAAAGTAATGGTTGCTTGCAATGATTTAGGTAAGTACTGCCCTCTATCACCAGAGAAACTACACACTGTCACTTTAAGGTTGGGAATATATTTGCTTTTAACCTCACAGTGATCCCTCTAGGGGGTGCAGTACAGAACTCAGACACATTAAAATGCCGGGGTTGCAGGGTACAAACAAAACAAATAGGGCGACAATAGAAGAGATCAGCAGCTGATACATTTTGAAAAAGAAAGAAACGACAGCATAGGTATCGTAGATAATATGTAAGACCTCTAAAGCAAAGATGGTTTGACAATGAAGTATGTCTCGCTTGTTTTCACAACTCCCCCTATTAGTTACGTTGGAGGACGGGCACAAATAACACTTCAAACAAACGCAAGTCACGCTAGGCAGCCATGAAAGACATGCAAGTATACCAGCCTGAAGTCGTTCTCATCCTTTCTGTATTTAGGGCCAAAAGCAGCGCCCCTTTATTCATGAACGCACACCTCTAGGCGGCCAACAGAGTGAAAACACATCATTTTACCATTTTAATTGTCATCGTATGTTGTTCGTTCATACATAAATACCATAAGGAATGTCTCCAACTGTTTCTGTTTAAGTACTTCCACAAACGCTCACGCACGCTTTGTGATCGACAGCTGTGCATAAGCAGATGTGTTGCGCTACTGGTTAATGCTGAGCGGCGGTCAATTTAAATTGCATGGGGCTCTAAAAAAGACATGTGGCCTACAATATATCACTTTTACACATTTCTAGAACATCATTCATAAATATACAACTAAAAAAATGTGAAACTTATGCAACAAGAACACAGATCATAATATACAGTCTTGTGCACCCAGCAGAGTGATGCTCTGTGCGTGTCTGGGGTATCAGTAGGTGCTTTTATTTTGACAAGTCACATTCAGTCATTTACTTTGTGTTTTTAGCTGAAGAGAAGAAATCAATGGTTTCAATGGGGTTCAATACCTTAACTAAAACAATATTTGATTAAACATGTCTTATTAGTCTGTACTGCTATTTAGATCAGTAATAATCACATAAACGGACAGTTTGCACTAAAACGAATAAAATCAGTCGATGATGATGACGACAAGAAAGACAGATAGTATCCCTCATAATAAAACTATCTTATTGGATGATCTGAGGTTTAGTCTTGGCTTTAAGTTTGTTTATCGTTTTTTTTTCTCTTTCCAGCAGGGTTATGTCCATGCATTAACAAATATGGCCACCAGATATCTGAACAATGAGCATGACTTCATGTCTGCGGAGAACAACCAAATCTTTCTGTTCCGAGGTTCCTTAAACACAACAACCACACACACCCTCGCCCAGTCTCACCCCCCCAACAATGTTAAAAATAGCACTTCCATGCATCTCTCGTCACCCCCCACCCTTTCCTTTGCTTACTCACCGTCATGCTTTCACTACCCCCCCCCCCCCCCAAGCAAACAATGTGTTGGTATGTAGCCACAGAAACACACGCTAGGCAACAATCTTTCACATTTACCCCTCTTCTTCTCTATCCTCCCTTCTCTCTTGTTGTGTCACTCGCTTTCTAGCTCCCACTCCTCGCCGCCACCTTATCACGCCTCCTGCCAAATGCCACAGCTGTCCATCAACGCCACCACCTCACACAGGAGGATGTGGAGGTACGAGGTTGAAGTTTGTGCTTGGATGCATGTGTGTTTGTGAGCCTTTACTCCTCACACAACCATCTCCAACACTTACAACACCTCCCTTCGCAAAGCTGGGACGGGTCGGAAATGAACAAAAATGGAGACGGAGGAGTGGAAGAAGGGATGAAGATGGGATGGGTGAATCACAAATGAACTGAGCAGCAGCGCAGAAGAGGCTGAGCCACAGATGAACAGAGCCACTCGGGTAGAAGAGATAACTAGTTTGATAAACGTAGTTTAAAAAAAATGGCCCCTGCAGCTTCACCTGATCAAACTATAGTAGGGATGTTTTTTTGTCAGGTTCAGCTTCTAGAGCTGACTTTTGAGGTGTGTTCTTCTAAGATTTCCTTTTTTTGATGCCTGCATCCCAAAACAAGTGAAAAAAATCAGTAAATAAATCAACAAAATGGTTCAAATTAGGATTTCCTGCTAAAACGAGAAAGCCTTTTCTGTAAATATGTTCTTATAACAAACTAAATAAAGTATTTGTACATAAACAATCAGGATTAAAGTAATGACAAACTGGCTAAGAACAAAAACAGAAAAACCTAGAATTGCAGGTGAGAAAACTTAACGTTTAATTTAAATACGTCTTGTTTAAGTAGCACCACTTCTCTCACTGAAACAAATATAATTATGTATAGTGTTGCAAACAGGAAAAAAGTGTTAAAAAAAACAACATCATAAATATTTGTTAAAAAAAGAAACAGCAGAAATCAGACAGATTCAAATCCAAACCTGAGCTCTCGTAGATGCTGAAATTCTTTGAATGAATTTAATGCAATAAATACAAATACGTTCCAATATCTGACTGTAAAAATGATTTTTATTTATTATGAAGAAAGGTCGGATGTACGCATTTTTAAAAATAAATAAAAATGTCAGATTTCATCTGTAGAGAGCGACAGAGACGAATGAGTGAAGGAATGAGACGTTGACAAAGTAGGATAAAAAGAGAACGAGTGCTTTTAGAGGTTGTGGGTCGTACCTGGAAGAAGCCCGGGGGCATTGGACCACCTGGCATGGCGTCGTTGGGGGGCATGTTGCCCATTACCGGGCTTGGCGCTGCTGCTGCGCTCTGAAAGCACACAAACACAACAGTTAAACATCACATTTTAATATTCAAGCATCTAACTTTTATTATTTATCAGCATAATAATATACTGGCTAATAAGTTACTACAGGGGGCAGTGTGTCTATCAGCAGACAAACACACACATCCCACTTTTTATGGAGTTTTAAAGCATTTTGTACCAGATGGGTCCTCGTGTTTTACAGTCCAACAACATGTGATCAGCTAGAAATAACAAACCTTAACAGCAAAAATGAGAAAAATAATTAATGTTTAAAATTCACACAGTTTAAAATCAAACTTTTTAAAGAGGCAACTGTTGATGTAAACATACAAGGAGACACCTTCAGTAAACTCAGTTTCTCACTGGGGTCCATCTAGATGCAAAAATCAATGTAATCAATCGTTTTATATGTTGAGGCTGTGAAAACATATTGACACTTGAGCCATTATCGTGTAAATCGTCGTTTGTCATTGTTCTAATTCTTTATTTGCTCGTTGGTCTTTGCGGTCTTCCAAAGGGATTCTCAAAATCCAGAAAGTAAACCAAAAACAGTTTACCAACGTGCTATTTGGTGTGAAACTTACTTTTCCCCAAACTTCAAAATTATGAAAAAAAAAAAAAAACAGGAACAAAATCCTACAACTCCATCCATCCATCCATTGTCTGAACCCATCTCCAGCACCCCCTCCTGTGTGTCTCTGTGTTGCCACACACACACACCTAAGGACAATTTAGAAAGACCAGTCAACCTAACAGTCATGTTTTTGGACTGTGGGAGGAAGCCGGAGTACCCGGAGAGAACCCACGCATGCACAGGGAGAACATGCAAACTCCATGCAGAAAGATCCCAGGCCGGGAAGCGAACCCAGGACCTTCTTGCTGCAGCTCTAACCATAACCACTGCGCCACTACGCAGCCTAATCGTACAACTCATGCAGGGAAACTTGAGAAAGATCCTGCTGTTCACGGTCTTTTGCAGTTCAGTGACACACTGACCTAAAAAAAAGTAAGCATCAAATGATACAAGTCCAAATAAATGATATCATAAAAATCAAATACCATAAAACCTCCTAAAACTCACACTGAAGTGTTTTTGCTTAGCATTAAAAAGCTTATAATAATTCTGCATAAGTAAAGCTTACCGTTAACGCATTAAAATCGGTCTATTTATTTTTAAAATTGGATTATAGAATCATTTCTGCCTCGACATGATGAACACCACCACAGTTTTAGCATTCACAGTAATTTGTTGACAAAAAGCACATATAAACACCAATCCTATGGAACAATTCACGACATTTAAAACTGAAGAGCTAACAGAGGAATTTTTAGCAACACTGGAACCTGATGAAAGCGGCTGCTAATCACATCAACACATGTAACACCAGCAGCTCTTCTGCAAGTCAAACAACGTGGAAAAATTAATAATGATGAAAAAAATCTACAAACTAGAGGAGAAAGAGGGGGAGTGATTTAGCCCACAAGTTAATATGATATAACTGTATCCTTAACAACACACAAGGAAGTAGACACATGTTCAGAGTGCTTACATAAGCAAGGCAGAACAAAACACACACCAGCAGCCAATCACATGAATGCAAAAAAAAAAAAAAAACAATATATATATATATATATATATATATATATATATATATATATATATATATATATATATATAACACACAGACACACAAAGAGTTGCATCACATGCTCATAAAGTGCAGCCCCTCAGTACAGACAGAAAGGGGAGGACCGCAGGCTACCAGCGAGAGCGGGGGACGTGGGGGTGGGTGGGGGGTTAAGACCCAGGGCAGGGAGTCACTCCAACACACACACACACACACACACACACACACACACACACACACACACACACACACACACACACACACACACACACACACACACACACACACACACACACACACACACACACACACACACACATTCTCCGATCCACCAGCTCACACACCTAATAAACACACCGCATCCAATCATCCCATTACAGACAAATACTCTGCTCTTTTACATTATCTGAAACACACAACAACTTAAAAAAATCACACACACTCACTGACACACACACACACACCTCCTCCCCTTTATGCTAATTTTGCTTGTGAACATGAGCAGGCCACTGAATCCCTGGGGAAGACGCAGGGTCGGCTGCCTCTTTTTCTCCATGTCCACGCCACCCCTCCCTTCCTCCATACCGTATTCTCTCCATTTTTTCCTCCCATCAATGCCCAGCACGCACACGAGCGTGCGTGCGCGCACACACACACGCACACACACACACACACAGATGCACAAACCTTTCCTGAGCCCCAACCCTTGTGCTAAACCTCCCCATCACAACCTCTCCTCCTCTCAGTCCCCACCACCCCACAGTAGGGTGTTAGCAGCTTGCAGAAGCTGTTGCTATGGCGACAGGTCCTATCTGCACTCTGTCCCCCTGGCATCCCCCGCTCCAGGAGCGCAGAGAGAGAATGAGAAGATGCAGGAGAGAGTGAGATCGAGAGAGTGAGTTAGAAGATACAGGAATGAGAAGAAGGAGGGGAAAAAAAGAGGAACATAGAAGAAACTAAGATAAGGTAACACAAAAGGAGATTTCTGTTTGCAATTAAGTCTCTGATCACAATTGTTGTTGTGCACCAATGGTGACAAATTATCTGTAAATGGGCCCATCTGAAATGACTGCAGCGTGGGGAGAAATAAAGTGCAGATTGAGCACGGTTGCCGAGAGCAAAAAGAAGGAAGGTAGATTTAGTATGCAGCTGGACTTTATTAAAACCAACCGGCCTGAGGAAATACAAAAAGATCCAACTGAGCTTTTTTAGTTCATGTGGTAGCACATACAGCACTGTCTATATTTAATGTTCCATTTCAACTCCTCTCAATAAAGAGGAAGACTTGCAAAAAGGCAGATTTCACCAAGACCACAGATCTATGGGAATGTGTCTCAGCAGTTCTGCAGGGAAACAGTGACTGCTAATGCAGCAAGAACTTTCAGGTAGAAGAATAACAAGTGTGCACCTTTAAGGAGCGACATGCAGCGATGCTGCATTAATTAGTTGATTTTTGCAGTTGAGTTAAATTTTCTTCTAGCATCAAGTATGGACGAGCCAGCAGATGAAGGAGCTTGTAGAAGAACCGACTGGTACCAGTGAAAGCTTTAATGTCTGACAACTAGGAAAAACAACAAGAATATGTTTCTTTTATTTGAGGCAGCTGGAAGTTCTTCAAACCCCAGGGGAGACATTTTCAAATGCCTGGAAACATTTACGGTGTTTAATCCGTAAACTACATTTTAATGGGCTTATCCTGCAGCGCCGCAGAAACACCGTGTCACAGCATCAGGTATGAATAATACAGGACTTGGACTATAGACACGAAGCGGATCACATTGCTGTGGAGACACTACATTAAAGCCAGTGACAGGTAACATGAAAGATTTTAATCAGTAACATCATTTAGTTACATTGTAATGAGATGCAACTTGCGTGAACGATACTTTGACAGTGTTACAGACCCATTACTAACCCTAATCCAAGAAAAAAAAAAGTTAGCATTTTTTGTTGGCATCATGGTGAAGTCTGGAAAAAAAAGTCAGAGAATAATGTCTTCGGAGAAGCAAAGAGCTAAACCAGAGTGAACATCGGCACAGCCTACACTAATTTGATGAAGCCAAAGTTGGTTATGAAACCACAGTCTGATGATGACCTGGCTTTGTTGCTACTGGACTTGTAACTAATAATATTTTTAGTCCAACAGTGTGGGTCTTTTTAATTGGTGGCTTATTTGGTAAGATTTGGCTCATGTTGGCGTTAGCTTGTTGTTAGTGCCAGTTAGAGCCCACCCTCCCTGCGGAGAAAACTAATTTCAGCCGCTTGTATCTGCAATCCTGTTCTTTTGGTCACTACCCAAAGCTCGTGACCATAGGTGAGGGTAAGAATGTAGATCGACCCTTCCGGCTCAGCTCTCTCTTCACCACGACAGATCGGTACAATGCCCACATCACTGCAGACGCAGCACCAATCCACCCATCGAGCTCACGTTCCATCTTTACCTCACTCATAAGCAAGACCCCGAGATACTTAAACTCCTCCACTTGAGGCAGGACCTCGTCCCTGACCTAGAGAAGGCATTAATGTATATATATAAATAAAAATAAAAATCCACCCTGCCTCATTAGGATATTAGGGCCATTTTCACTATTGGAACTTCCAGGGAATTTTATCGGACCTTCACGGTCTACATTTCACCGGGCTGGCCCAAAGAGCCACTTCAGGAACCAAACGACTACCTGCACTGGGGTATTGGAAATGGCCCAACAGAGTAGCTGGGCAAGACTTGTGGCTATCTCATGCTGATTGGCTGCAACTCAGTGGGAAATTACGGCAGATATCACCAAACAATTGGCATTTGTAAGCGTGCGGGCAAGCAGAATGGGGAAAAAAAGCAGCGTTGACGCTGCTCTAAAACTGCCATTTCTAAAATCTCAAAACCAGAAAATGTGATGGAAATCTACTTACAATGCCGTAATTTACACAACTTTGTGGGCTCCTACAGTTCCCTAAAAATAGTGTGACTTCTGTTCATTGAACACCACTTTTTACATCACACAGCTGCTCTCTCAACATATCCCCTAAATGGTGTAATACAGCATTCTATGAAAGAATAAATCTTCATCATTATTGATTTTCATCTATGGCTGAGGGCCCCTATTAATGCTGATCAGTGACATCACTCACTGCCAAAATGGTCATGGTATACCGATGCCTTAACAAGTCCTTACAGAGCATATTTGTGTATGGAGATGCAACGGCAGAGAGGACAGAGGCGACACATTTTCACCATCACCTTCCTCCCGCCAACAAATGTTCCGGAACTCCTCTAGTTATTATGTATAGCCCATGCAGTAAACTAGTTGTGTGCTTTTGTCTACAGGAACTAGGTTTCGATACAACTTTAGGCTAAATTATTTTGATTTGGATCATAA